CTCCCTCTCCCTCTCTCTCTCCCTCTCTCACTCTCTCTCTCTCCACTAGCACATGCTCCACTAGCCTTTGACAAGCATCGTCGCAGTCAGTCTCTCTCAGTCTGGAGAAACACTCAAGACCGCATACTTCTTTCTTTGCTTCTTTACAGAAGCTGGATTCGCCAGTCGCATAAACGGAGCGCCTAAACTCTTAATAACAGTCTTTCAAAAGAGAACCCCGACCGTTTCTTCACTGAATCGCTCATATATTCAAACTCGGGCATGTAACAGTCGGATGGGATCTATGAACTACACCAAGGACTCATTTATTAATAACGACGAACCCGTTTGTCATAAGTATGAAGCATAAATAATGTTTAACAATTGCTCGGATGGAAGATCTGTTCAGTCTGTCTCTAATAACTTGGAGGATTTTGATTCTATACGGAGCGTGCTTCTTTACAGGTTCGTAGTTCTCGTTTTATTTGATCATATATTGTGTGCTGTTTGTTTGTTGCGTGTCTCAGCGTGCCGGAGGGGTTTTAAAGACCCCGTGCGGTTTTTGGGGGCCACTTGAGTGCTGCAGACAAATTTACATATTTTAAAATGTATGACAAAATTGCTAGTTTATTTAGAAGCGTTAGCTGTCATTATAAATGTCTAGTTTATTTTAAAACGAAGCTTTCATAATATTTACTATTCCATTACAATGCTATGCGCTTTTAATTATGCTAATTCAAACACTATTACTTGATTCTGAAGTCGCCAGGCGAGTCTGTTGTTGTTGTTGTTGTTGTTGTTGTTGTTGTCGTTTCTTGTAACGCGCTGTTCAACAAAAGCTTCCGTGTTGCTATGGAAACGACTCGATTCTACCAATCGCTGTTTGAGAAACGCGTCACGTGGTTGGACGAGACCCGGATGCGTTCAAAAGAAGAGTGCGCCGCTTGAAACACGAGCGCAGTTTATCGAGTAGAAAGATGCGCTGATGGCTTCTAGACATTTTAAAGATGAACCCGAGACGGATTTTGAGTCAGACGTACGCGAAAATAAGGAGGACGAAACTGATTCTGAAGCATCAAGTGACAGTTCCTCAGATTCCTCCGAGTAAGAGCATAAACACATTCAAAAACTGTCATTAATAAGTGGATTGCTAATTCGATATCTAGCATTTTGCATGCTTCGCTATAAAACTTGGCTTTCGTTGTTTGTAAACACATTAGACCTGTATATAACGTTAACGGTGTTAGCTTGTGTTTTAGTATTTGTTTACGTTAAGTGTATTAAAATAGCCAAATCTGTTATAGCTAGTTCATGTTTTGGTTCATTTCAGTTGAGTGGTCTCTTCTGACCCTCGTTTAGAAAGAGAGGCTCATGAAAAGGGAAACTAGACTTTGTCCATTCTCTCTCATTTTTAAGGGGATTTTCTGTTTCCAGTTTGGAAAGTCAGCCATCATAAATAATTATATGCTATTCACCATCTTTAGTGACTTTATGGAGATGGTTGCCAAGAGCTAACCACCAAAGCAGTGTGGCTTAATTTAGAAATGGGGAAGAAAACATAATGTCTGGCTGAATACTGAGTAGAGTTTTTCTGGAATGAAGGAGAGGATTCGGCTTCAAAGCTTTAAAGGGGTCATATGATGCTTTTTTAAAGATCATTATTTTGTGTATTTGGTGTAACAGAATATGCTGACATGCTTTAATGTTCAAAAAACACATTATTTTTCAAATACTGTACATTATTGTAGGTCCTCTATGCCCCGCCTCTCTCAAACACGTTGTTTTCTACAAAGTCCCTCCTGGCTTTCCCTGCAGCATTCTGACTCATCGATTATGTAGTGTTTAGTTTGTGTTTCAAGACACTCTTATATCATGTATTGCTTCATTACTGGTGCTGAAATGCAGTCTGTTGCAAAAAGTGAGAGACTGCGATATTTTCACACGCATAGAAAACAACAAATGTCTTCTTTTGCAGAATATTGTGTTTGTGGGACGTGCGTAGTTGATCGTTTGCTATACTTCATCTTAAACTATTTTAAATAACGTTTTTAATTTTTTTTGTATAATTATATGTCTACATGCAGTTTGCGAAACTCAAATCACTGGAGAAACTACATGGAGTTTTAATTTTAAAATGAATTTGTCACTTTTGTAAAGCCTCCAAAGTAAATAACAATCAGTTAATAAGTCTAATATGTGCTTTTATCTAAATTTGAACCTTAAAATTGCGATAATTGTGAATAGTTAATGTCCAGTGCTGTTATTGTTAATTAAAACTAAAAAATTATAATAATTTAAAAAACGCAACTAACCAATAAAACTACAAAAAATTAAATACGTTTAAGATTAAGCACTAAAATTACTAAAACCAAAATAATAGAAATGAAGCTAAATAGGAATGTTTGGAAAAATAAACATGACTAAAGAGCATAAAAATGACTAAAACTTTAAATGATAACTGAAAATATAAAATCAAAGCTTATTCCAAATATTAATAAATACTACACAAAAAATGGCTTTGAAACCATTTTCACCTCGAAATTGCTAGTAAATTTCGCAATTAAGAAACAGCAGGTAACGCATTTAATTAAAATATGTAGTTTTGAGGTATACAACATACTCCAATAATCTTTGTTTTATTTACAACTATGAAATAATATCAAAATAAATCCTACAGTCGATTTCTACTTTATTGTAGTTGATTGAATTGGTTTAGTTAGTTCCTAGTTATTCACAGCTTGTGGGAATGGATAGATTTGAGAAAAAATAAGCTGGGCTGTCTCAGAAAAGTTAGTTCTGAGAATAATGACATTTTTATTGTCCAGCCATTGTCCATACTTTTTTTAAGGCTACTGCATTCTGGATTTCATCACTTGCTCTATTGTACTCTTTGTTTTGTGTCACAGTGACCTTGAGCCGGAATGGCTGGATGACGTCCAGAAGAACGGTGAGCTCTTCTATCTGGAGCTGAGTGAGGGAGAGGAAGAAGCTCTGCTGGCCCAGGTCTCTGCCAGTCACTCCGCTGCCACCAATCACGTCCGCTTCAGCGAAAAGGAGGCGGAGATCATCACAGACAATGGCAAAAAGCAAGCGACCTCCAGCAGCAAAACCGAAGCAAAACTCAAGAAGTTCACCAACATCCTGAGGCGAAAGCGGCGACCATCTCAAAGGAAAGCCGCTGATGGAAAAGACGCAGGGTCTTCCCAGCGTCCCACCTCCATCTTGAAGAATCAAGCGGGCCAGCGGCCTGGAGTCGTGGTCCAGCAGCAGCGTCTGAAGGATGTGTGCGTGTATCTGAACCCCAAACGTCTCGGCGGTTCCTCGTCTCCGTCTCCTGAGAGAGGCGGTTTGTTAGAGGCCTTGCTGGGTGTCGTTCACCGTCCAGGAGGAAATGCAGGGAAAAAAGGGGGAAAACTCATCATCCATGGTCTGGTCCCTCACAGTCCCGCTAGCAAGTGTGCGGAAATTCTTATCGGTAAGCACAGCTAGACAAGGAGTGGGTCAGTTAGGAAAATTTACTAGTTTTTTTACTTACAGATTTCCACTACAGTTCAAAAGTCCAGTATGATTTTTGAAACTTTGAACCAATTGCTTCGCAAAATGATTCACAGCTTCAAAGTGCTCGAAACACTTGATGCCTGCTGGTCAAAGCTGTTTAAATCCAGGCCAAACATGCATAAACACGTTTTAAAAACCAAGTGCAAATATTTTATTGAAAGTTGAATCTATTAAATGCAATTTGCAAATCATCAAGTACCATTAAATATGAAGTGTCTGTTTAACGTGTGTTCTTTTATTAATTTGCAAGGCTTGTTTTATGGAGGGCTTGGCGAAACAGGCCAGTAAGAAAATATTAACTATTACTTTTCCTTTTTTATTATACCAATGTGTCATTAAAATGTCTGCAAATTTATAAAACTGGTTCAAACTATACAATGGTTCATGGGTTCACTGTGATCAGCCTTAATGGTAAGCCATTGAAGCTTTAAAACATTTCAAAACAGTCGTAACAAAGCCTTGTCTACAGAAATCATGTGATTTTTTAAAATTTGATATGCACTATGATTGATATGAAACAAATGATTCACAGGTTTCAAAGCTTCACAAAGCACTGTTTTGAAAACATACATCGCTAGTTTTTCCAGTTTTAATGCCCCCTATAGGTGGAATTGGACGAAATTTGGTGTGTGTCCTCAAAATGTCCTGTTGTCAGTGTGTTTCAAGTTTCGTTATGTTTGGACATTGCGTTTAGCAGATACGTACCAATTTGTACAAATGGGTGTCTCTCAGATCAATGATTTAACTTATCAGAAAACATAATGTTGCTTATTGGAAGCAACTTGCTTTCATTCAAAACACCTGGTGAGTTTCCTACAAAAAAATCTATTTTAATCTGTTAAGTCAAATTACACGTTAAGTCAAGTTACAGCTTGGTGTTGTGGTTGGTTTTTACTAATATTCTCTCTCACAACTGCCTGTTAAACACTCTAGTTTTATGTCCCTAGCACATTTGGTAATGAAATCATACAATTGGAAGCGTTTTTTTCAATTGCGCTGTATATTTACAGTGAATGTTTTTCTGATGATGTCCTAAAGCGACATTCAAGGGGAACCCGCAGTCGTTTTCTTCCCGAGACAGACCAAAGAAATTCCAAACGGGTTACACCACCCCAAAAACTCTTTCCCCAGCAGCTTTTTACGATTGTTTCTCAAACGCCCGTCCATACTAAAGCAATTAGACCGTTTATCAGAAATAACTTTGCATGCCGCAAAGGGAAGAACGTGCAAATCTACCGAAGGCAGGTGGAGGTGCTGTTTGATGTGCATTTGTTTTTATCTTGTGATAGAGATACAATTTACCTAAGCTGTTTGCACACTGGGGAATCAGGCGACAAGTTGCAGATGTTAGTTTTTCATGTTTTCTTTAGGTGATGCCCTGGTTGCTGTGGACGATGTGGATGTTACTTCAGAAAACATTGAGAGGGTTTTGTCATGCATACCGGGCCCCACACAGGTAAGTGCGAGTTTTTGTGTCTTTTCGTTGCAAATGAGCATCTTTCTAAGACTAAATGCTTGAAACATTGAAACAATGAGCCAAAGTCTTTGAAGTTTGAACAATGAAAATGAACAAATGTATTGCTCAGAATGCTTATTTGGCTCTGTAGTCGTCTGCAGCAGTCAAATAGTTCAACCCAAGCCGAAAACAATCTTAAATCTCAGATGCTTTGCTTTTCACCACTTGTAAGACAAACGCTCAGTTTTCCCGCCCGCAGACCTCCCGTAAACTCACAAACGCTGAGGGCGCATCAGGTCAACTCTACATTTTGGGAGCTGAGGTCTGTTTTTAAGGGATTAATTGGCTTGAAAATGAGAGTTTTTTTGGTTTGTTTTTTTAACAAGACCTAATCGTTTCAGATGAGCACTTTCTAAAAGTGGTTTTGGTTTCTGGTCTGTGCCTCTCAGGCTTGCGAGTTGCGACTAATTTGGTTAAATGTGCTTGCTGAAATATTGGCGGTAATCTTGTCATAAACAAGACAAATGGACTGTCAATGTGTATAAAGCTTTGATAGTTTCCTCATGTCGTAAGCTGCGCTGATCTCTTTGGGTTGGTGTTGCTTGTTGCAAAATGTAGGTAAAATTTTGCCATTTTCAATTGCATTTTCCATTTAAAATAGTGATTGATTTCGACCCAAAATGCTTCAACTAAACCCCAAAACCAGAAGCTGTGTGAAGTCTCAATGCACATTGCAAATGAGCTCTAAACTCAGCTCAACTGGTGTTTGAAAATAAAAGCATATAAACATAAAACAGTTGCAAAAACCCAATTTTTTTATTTCAGAAATGCACGTTTAAAACATTAGTAATCTGAACCCCAACTGTTAAACTTTGGCATGCAATGTGTTCCGCACAATTCATGGAGTCATGAACGAGAGATGTGCTGTTACGTCTCTTAATCGATCAGTTTTAAAGGGGTCATATGGTGTTGCTAAAAAGAACATTATTTGGTGTAATCAAATGTGTTTCTGTGGTTTCACGTTCACACAACACCTTATTTTCCACATACTGTACATGATTGTTTCTCCTCTATCCCCCGCCCTTCTGAAACGCGTCGATTTTTACAAAGCTCATCGGTCTGAAAAGCGAGGTGTGCTGTGATTGGCCAGCTATCCAGTGCGTTGTGATTGGCTGAATACCTCAAGCGTGTGACGGAAATGTTACGCCCCTCATCATACTGTGATGATGCCCTGTCAGGCTGGAGTGACGAGATAAAAACATTAAAACCCATTATAAACGAGGCTTTCGTCGCATCCAGTGGGGACATAATTACTGATTATAATGACTTATACTGTCTTTTTACGCGTTGCGTTGCATCGCGCCGCGTAAACATAAAACCATATCTGCATTTGTGATCAGAGAAATGACAAACAACAACCGCTACTCTACACTGCCCAAAAAACTCGCTTTAAATATAAAAAATATAAAAATTCTTTAAATATTAAAAACGTGCTTACAGTCTGTGAGTCAGAACAGCCGGCATTGTAGTCTACTCTAGATTTTTTTTCTTACATAAGAGACTTGAGCCATATAGAGATCAGAATAGAGACTAATTTTTTCAGACCTTCATTCAGCAAGGTTGCATTCAATTGATGAAAAGTGACAGTAAAGACGTTTATAATGTGACAAAAGATTAAATTTTCAAATAAATGCTGTTCTTTTGAACTTTCTATTCATCAAAGTATCCTGATAAAAAAAGTTTTCCACAAAAAATATGAAGCAGCAAAATGGTTTTCAATATTGATAATAATCAGAAATGTTTCTTGAGCAGGAAATCAGCGTATTAGAATAATTTCTAAAGGATCATGTGACACTGAAAACTGGAAAATCAGCTTTGATCACAGGAATAAATTACATTTTAAAAATGGAAAGCAGTTATTATGAATTTTAATAATATTTCATGTATATTTCACTGTATTTTTGATCAAATGAATGCAGCCTTGGTGGACGGAAGAGACTGCTTTTTAACTTGTTTGAAACAAATCCATTGCAGAAAGTCAACATACACTCCTGTGAAAGATGCTCTTACACAAACAAGTCTTAACATCTTATGCAGTGTGTTTTGGCTTTTTAGATTTTTAGTTATATTTACTCAACAAAAAGTCCAAAAAGCTTAATTAAGAAGTCATTTTTTTTGCCGTGCACTCTTAAAAATAAAGGTCCCAAAATGGGAGAAAAAGAATCATTCTGGCTCTGCAAAGAACCTTTGAACAGTTCTTAAAAGAGCCATTTTCTTCAAGTGAAGAACATTTTAAAATTCTAAAGAACCCTTTTGCACTATAAAGAACCTTTGCATTGGAAAGCTTGTTAAAAGCTATTCATGGAACCATAGATGCCAATAAAACCCCTTTATTTTTAAGTGTGGGGATGAGTTTCTCACAAGCAAGCGTCACTCACAGAAGATATGGAAGATATTCTTTCTGAGAATGCTTTGCATTTGATCACTTCTCAAGCTGGTCTTGTTCACTCAGTTGCCTGAAAGAGGACGGAATGTCAAAATTACAGAGTTGCGTCGCGACGGCGGTTACGCTAACGCTTGTTTTTGTAGGCCACAGGAAAAGAGCCATTATCCTGTGGAGAGGAGAGAGGGAGAAAGTGATTAAAGGACGAGAACCGATAGCAAATTACACCGTAGGACAAAAAAGGACAGGCGAGACTATTATGATATTAGGGTAGAGGAACTGTGCTCTTGTGAGGTTTCAAAAGGCTTGCCAAGGTTTTAAAATCAGCTTTGCCTCGGCTGGTGAAATTATGAGGCAAGAGTTGCTTGATCGTTGACTTTCAATGTTAAGACCGAGCTGAAGAGTTACTAAACCACAGGAACAAAACCATCATGTCCACTGACAGCAGCCTTTCTTTGGACACTGACACCAACACAGGGTCAGATTGTGTGTTTGTTTTTTGTTTTTGAAAGAAAGTAAGGGTTTTATTCAATAAGGATGCATTAAATTGATCAAAAGAGACATTTATAATGTTGTAAATGCTTTCTATTTCAAATAAATACTGTTCTTTTAAACTTTCTATTCATCAAAGAATCCCGAAGAAACCGTTTTCGCAAAATATTAAGCAGCACAAATGTTTTCAACATTGATAATCGTAAGAAATGTTTTTGAAGCAGCAAATCAGCATATTAGAATGATTTCTGAAGATCATGTGACGCTGAAGACTGGAGGAATGATGCTGAAAATACAGCTGCGCATCACAGGAATAAATTACATTTTACAATATATTCACATAGAAAACAGTTATTTTAAATTGTAATAATATTTCACAATTTGTATAATTATTAATACAGTTTTTAGTGTACACTAAAAATTACACTTACTTTAACTTAAAACATTCAGAATCAAACTGGCTGTACAAGTTATTTTAACTTAAATGATATTAAACTGACTTAAAAAATGAAGGTGAATGTTGTGGAAATGAATAAATAAAGATGAAAATGGTTAAAATAATCTGATGAATGGAAAAAATGAAAAAATACGATATTGACTTCATATTTTTGTAGTGTATTTTTGATCAATTTAATTCAGCTTTGCCATCACATGAATAAATTATATTTTAACATATATTCAAATAGACAATTGAAAAACTTTAAATTGTATGGTCAAATAAATGCAGCCCTGGTAAGCAGAAGAGACTTCTTTCAAAAACATTACAAAATCTTACCGACAGTAGTGCAAGTATCATAGGAAATACTGTTTTTTTTTTTTGACGCAACATATAAATAAAAAAAATTATACTTATTTAGTAATAGCTCTTAAAAGTGTCAGCCTGCAGACCTCTTTTGGCCCTACTCTATGAAGACATCATATCTACATTTACATTTGTTCATTTAGCAGACGCTTTTATCCAGAGCGACTTACAGATGAGATGTGATGTGAATGTGAAGCTGGTGTGGTTTTCCCGGCCGCTGTCCTCCGGCTCAGCGCTGCAGTCCAGCTGTTTGCGGTCAGCAGACACTCATGTGCGCTCGGCTCTGCATGTTAAACAGCCGCGTGGGAGTGAATACGCCGCTTTCTGGGAGCTGCTGCTTTCCTTGATCTCTGAGTGCATGGCTTTTATGATCTGCACAATCTTAGAAAGCTACGGTTTGTTTTTAGCAGCAATATGTGGCTGACTTTGGAGCAAAATGTTTACCTTGAATCTTAAATCTTATGTGTGAGTTGAATGCATCGGGTCTTCTGCTCACCAAGGATGCATTTATTTGATGAAAAATACAGTAAGAACAGTAATATTGTGAAATATTATTACAATTTAAAATAGCTGGTTTCTGTTTTAATATATTTTAAAATGCAATTTATTCCTGAGATGCAAAGCTGGATTTTCAGCATCATTACTCCAGTCTTCAGTGTCACATGATCCTTCAGAAATCAGTCTAATATTCTGATTATTTGCTTTTCTGATTATTATTAATCTGCTTCATAGTTTTGTGGAAGCGGATTTCAAAAGAACAGCATTTATGTGAAATAGAAATCTTTTGTGCCATTACAAATGCCACTTTCAAAGTAATTTTGCATGTGGGAAATCCGACACAAAGAGATCAGATGTGGAGGAATGGCACAGTATTACTGCAAAAACTGTTTATGCTTCTGAATTACTGAAGCAGCATGTGGTAGAGCACAGCGAGTCTCTTTTTACACAACCACATCTCTTTACACCATCATCATTCAGCCTTTCTGAAGTTATTTACTTAAATTAAGCTTGATGTCAGGCTGTTGCACCAAAAATATAAGTTATACTTATTTATGCCAAGTAATACAACCCTGGCAATAACAACCATTATTATACGGCTGTGCTCAATGTGCTCCATTATTTTAAGTTTAATTTTGCTTGACCTTGGTGCAAAGGAAAAAGTTGTTGGCGAGTGTGTAAAATAAATTTGTGGATCTCAAAAAACCATAATTTCTTGTCGTCTTTCCAGTGTTCATGCTGAATTGGACAATTTCTCACACTAAGAAAATAAATTCTAGAAAAAGAGATGTTTTGGTCATTTTTGGTAACGTTGGTACTTTTCTGCAAGGACATTATCCATTAGTTTACAGACATCCATACAGACATTTTTATACACATGTATGCCCTTCATTCATGTAATACAGTAAAATTATAACAAATTAAATATTAATATTGTTCATTTAAAAATATATTCTAAAATATTATATTTCAAGCGCAAAATAGTTTACGACATGCTTTTTTGGTACGTTAAAAAATGGCGCAAGTACCAGTAATTTGACGAGTGCGAACATTAGTAAATCGCGTTTCGTGATTCATTTTAATACTCTCCTCCCATAACTTTTGCGTCTGAAAGGGAAACTCTTAAAAATGCATATTTGCATATTCGTCATTCGTAAAACCTAACAGTACTATTTTAATGCCAAAAGATGGTTTGCGCTGGCGCAAGCTGTTAGTAAATCTGGCCCCAAATTAGTTATTGAATTATTTTAGTTAATTTAATTAAATATTATGTCTAATTTTTGTTGTTAGATTTTGGATTGAAACTAAATTTGGATTTTGTGTGTGTACTTGTTTATGCAACATTGTGTATAAGGATAGTAAAACTTGAAATTTTTGAGATTGGGGGAAAAAATTATTAAAAATAGTAAATGATGTGTAACAATGCAAACAGGTTTTCTGTAAGGGGTAGGTTTAGGGTTAGGGGATAGAAAATATCGTTTGGTCAGTATAAAAGTAATAGAAGTCGATGGAAAGTCCCCACAATTCACAGAAACAAACATGAGTGTGTGTGTGTAAACATTAATTCTTGCAATATGTTGAAATATTATTCCTTTCATATAATAATTTGTAATATATTATATAATATAATATATTAATTTATAGAACATTTAATTTCACACTAAAGGCCCTGATATACTTCAAACGAAGTTCTTTTTCGTTCTTCGTTTGAGGGCAGAAAGAAGTTTGAAAAGGCTAAGCGACGGTATACTGTTTTCGAACATTCCAACACCCCCACGATGCTGGAGGCGGGGTTGTAAGCGTGTCACGCCGCCTGCATGTACCCCCTAAACACAACAACGATGGCGGCTGTGAGAGAAGAACAAGATGTTTCGTAAACATCTAGCATTGATCTATACAGTGGCAAAGAAAAAGAACAAGAGCAAGCGACATAGATGGTATGTGCGTCCACTTAACGAAAACAGAAAGAATGATGGTGAGTTTGTCCTTTTTATTCAGCAAATGCGGAGCACAGATGAGGAAGTGCATTTTTCATACTTCAGAATGTGAAAACTATTCGTTTCGTCCTGATTTAGTTCGAAATTACGTCATTTCAGTTTGTTCATCGATTTCGTTTGAAGTATATCGGGGCCTGATGCTGCGTTCGAGTCCTCCTGGGACGTTCGTACTATCTAATTACGATATCAGGTGCGTTCGAGTCCGTTTAGTCGGCACAAGATGGCGGTGTACCTTCTTTTAATAAATTACAAGAAAATACAACAGGGTCTGCATATTTTTACTTGGATTTCAGCTGCGTAACAAGAACATGACCAATTTAAGTTTATAGGACAACTAAACTATTAATTTAAACAAAAATTTACCGTCAACTACAGACGTTGCATCCATCGATTCCGCCATGTTTCTCATTGACTCCCAACTCGGAAATTCGGGGCTTAAAGAAAATTTTGAGTTTCCCACTCGTAATAACGACTTTGTGGTGGTGTTCATGTGCGTTCAACTCGTAAATACGATCTATCCGACATGACTTGAACGCACCATTAAAACACATGCAATTCAGTTCCTGTTTTATAGACTCTTCTTAGTGTAAGTGTATTAGAGTATTGTCCTGTCATCATCACAGTATTTATGTGAGGTTGTTTCTCAGCTGAGGTTGACTCTGGAGACGGTCTGTCCCGCCGGGAGGGCTCCGGACTCGAGAGCGAAAGCGGCTCCTGTGGTCAGTCAGCTGGTGCGTCTGCTGTGGGGCGAGGACACCGTCGAGCTCCAGATGTCCATCGCACATGTCCCACACATAGTCATGTACCTCTCGCTCAAACTGGACTCCGATTCGCTGCAGGACGAGGTCAGTCCTTTTGACTTCATTCAGTGGTACACTCTGTTCTGAGACTCTCCCCATTGATTGCATTACAAATGTCATTTTCAGCTTGAGAACTGTGCAAAGCTAAAGCAGCTGTGTGTGGATTTTTTCAGCACTTAATCCATTAACATCCAAAAGAGTTTCCCCAGTTAAATCAGTCAGGATTGAGCATGAATGGCTCGCGTTTACAGCAGCGTGACGCGAGGAAGACTTTGGAAAGTTTTATTTTTAAAGGCTTGAATTACTCAATTCATAAAGAGAAGCAAAATGTGAATGAAAAGTTACGATTGGCGGAAATGCAACAGGGCGACTTTCACAAAACCTGTACAGAACATGTCTGGATAAAAAAACAACAAGATAATAAAAATAAGAAAATTGTAGTTAGAAATATGTTTAAGGGCATTAATGTTTTGTTTTTTTTCTATTATACAGTTATTTTCAAGACAATTAAACACATTTATAATAAAAATATTATAAATAAATATAATTTATATATAAATATTAAATTATATAAAACATTATACAAATTACAGTTATTTCTTAAATATTTAATAATGATTTATTATTTTTTTTTCTATTTAAATCAGCGTAAAAAAAATTCATAACTTTATTTAATGTTAAATATTATTTCTAATCTATTTAATCTCCCACCAGATTTTCATTATTCTTGTAATAATTTTGTAATAAAGTATATTGCAAATTACAATGCAATTTTAAAATTAAAATCAGTTTAAACTAGCTTCAATTTCTTTATGCAAAATAATATTACATTTGTATTACTTTTTGATTTTTTTTTAAGTAATTTTTTTCCGAAATATGAGATTCACCTAGTACAGGGTAGCGATATTTTAGTATTATTCATGCGCTATTATAATTTGTATTATTATTTTTAATTGCCTTTTAATTTTTATATTTTCAGTTTTAATTTTTGTTTAGGTTTTTGTCATTTTGTTATGTTGTTTTGTCATTTTTATTACTTTTTGTTCTATTTAAATATTACTATTTTGTTTTTTGTTTTGTTTTTTCATTTCAGATTAAGTTTCTGTTTCTGTTAAGTTATCTATTTCGAGTTAGTAATTTTAGTGCTAACACAAACTAAAAAGAAAATTAGAAATATATTTTATTGCAGCTTTAATTCCGTTTCAGTTTAGTTTAGTTTAACGATTTTGGATTTGATTTGGTACAGGGTTTTTAGTTCCTGGTTCTGCAGAGCCACTTTCCTGTGAAGTTTAGATCCATCTAATAACACTAAACACACTCGGATCAACTAATCAGAGTCTCTGGCCTTGCTTGAAAACTGCAGCCAGGTGTGTTGGATCATGTTTAAAACTAAACTCTGCAGGAATGAGGAACTCTGACTTAGTCTTGCACAGATTGACACCCTCTACAAAGATTGAAGCTGTTTTTTGGCCCACAGACGGCTCCTGTCAGGCTGGAGATTTGAACACATCGAAGCAGCTTTTGTAAATGCATCCGTCCAGGTGCTGATAGTTCAGAGCAGCACTAAATCTCTCTGTGTTGCTCTCAGTGGAAGCGTTTGTGCTCTGACTCACTTAAAAAGCTCTTTCTGTCTGCAGTGATTGATACCACTCCGAGCTCTAATGTGAGTTTGAGCATTTATAATGTGTGTTTTTATGCGCTGCAGCTCTCAAACCACAGGCCGCAGTGCTGCCTTAAGCCAAAACGACCACCTCTGAATGCTGGCGGGAGCGTTTAGAGCGTCACTGAAGAGATAAGAGATGTGAGTGAGTGAGTGAGTGAGTGAGTGAGTGAGTGAGTGAGTGAGTGAGTGAGTGAGTGAGTGAGTGAGTGAGTGAGTGAGTGAGTGAGTGAGTGAGTGAGTGAGTGAGTGAGTGAGTGAGTGAGTGAGTGAGTGAGTGAGTGAGTGAGTGAGTGAGTGAGTGAGTGAGTGAGTGAGTGAGTGAGTGAGTGAGTGAGTGAGTGAGTGAGTGAGTGAGTGAGTGAGTGAGTGAGTGAGTGAGTGAGTGAGTGAGTGAGTGAGTGAGTGAGTGAGTGAGTGAGTGAGTGAGTGAGTGAGTGAGTGAGTGAGGTGAGTGAGTGAGTGAGGGAGTGAGTGAGTGAGTGAGTGAGAGAGTGAGTGAGTGAATGTGCGTTCAAGTTCGTGTGAGAAACACACACATTCAACCTGGCTACGCTTTCAGACCGCAAGCTTTTGAGTTCGTGTGAGAAATCGAGTTCTCATGTCCTCCTTCAAACCGCACACACTCACACACACACACACACACACACACTCACTCACACTCTGCGTTCAAGTTCGTGTGAGAAACACACACATTCAACCTGGCTACGCTTTCAGACCGCAAGCTTTTGAGTTCGTGTGAGAAATCGAGTTCTCATGTCCTCCTTCAAACCGCACACACTCACACACACACACACACACACTCACTCACACTCACACGTGTGTGAGAGTGAGTGAGTGAGTGAGTGAGTGAGTGAGTGTGTGTGTGTGTGTGTGCTCACTCACTCACTCACTCACTCACTCACTCACTCACTCACTCACTCACTCACTCACTCACTCACTCACTCACTCACTCACTCACTCACTCACTCACTCACTCACTCACTCACTCACTCACTCACTCACTCACTCACTCACTCACTCACTCACTCACTCACTCACTCACTCACTCTCACACACGTGTGAGTGTGTGTGAGTGTGTGTGTGTGTGTGTGTGAGAGTGTGTGTGTGTGTGTGAGCGTGTGTGTGTGTGAGTGTGAGTGTGTGCGTGTGTGTGTGTGTGTGCGGTTTGAAGGAGGACATGAGAACTCAATTTCTCACACGAACTCAAACGCTTGCGGTCTGAAAGCGTTGCCAGGTTGAATGGTTCCTGCTCCGCATACTAATCAAAATGACAAAGGAAACGTCCCTCCCCTTCATTCCCTCCTGCAGACAAACCTCAAGCGTCTCATGCTGCTGCAGGAGAAGAATAGCGGCTCCTCGTGGGAATATGTGTGGGTTTTGGCAAAGTTATGAGCTGTGAGCTAGTCATAATTTAAAGTCAACGTGTTTCGTAAAAGAGGAACATAACTTATGAAAGATGGCTGATTTACATGGTCCTAGTTTTATGAACTTTATGCTTCTTCAAAAAAAGTTAATATTTTATTTGTTTATTTATTTTTTAATCTACCCAATTTACTTAATACATGTTCCTAATCTTACAAACAATTCATGCTGCTTCAAAACATTTTATTTTTGATTTATTTAATACATGTTCCCATCCCATCTTATGAATTAATTTTTGAATTGAATTGTTTTGTTTTATTTTATTTTTTATTACTTAATTCATGGTCCTTGTCTTATGAACAATCCATGCTTCTTCAAAAAAGTTCATGTTTTATTTTTAATTTTATGTAATTCATTTTATTTTATTTTATTTTACCAAATTTACTTAATATATGTTCCTAATCTTATGAACAATTCAAGCTTCTTAAAATTTTTAATATATATATATGTTTTTTACATTTATAATAATAATTAATAAATTTATTTATTTACCCAACTTCCAACTCTTATGAACAATTCATGCCTCTTAACTTTTTTATTCATTTATTTATTTTTTAGTATTTTAATATTTATTTTATTTTTGTTTTATTAATATATTCTATAGGATGTGCTTGCATGGCATTAATACAAAAGTGTCATCAGATTCTATTAAAAAAAATATTTACAATTTTATTTAAAATTTAATTTTTCTGGTCAGATGCTCACACTTTATTTTTTATTTTTGAGAGATGTTCATTCTCTAATATATTTATTAAGATATTTATTATTATTATTATTATCATCTTGTAACATTATTGACAAGGGAAACACTTTTGTCCTCCATTTAAGCAAAATGGTCTCAAATATAATTCATAAAAAATGTATGTTTATCATGATTATGCATATATGCTGTAAAATGACTTTGGGTCAGTATTACCCTGACTTAGACTGATTTGTGTTTCCTCTCTGCAGCAGGAGATTTTGTACCAGTATCCGGTGTCTGAAGCCGCGGTTCAGCTGAAAGCGGTGAGAGGTATTTTCCTGACGCTGTGTGACATGCTGGAGAACGTCACGGGAGGACAGATAGTCAGGTGAGGGGCTTTAGCTATATTTATCTCTTCTGGTCACCAAAGACTGCATTTATTTGATGGCAAATGCTGCAAAAACAGTGAAATATTATTGGTATATATTTTCATTGTGAATATATATTAAAATGTAATTTATTTCTGTGATCAAAGCTGAATTTTCAGCATCATTACTCCAGTCTTCAGTGTCACCTGATCCTCCAGAAATCATTCTAATATGAAACATTTCTGATTATCATCAGTGTTAATAACAGTGCTGAAGTTGTGAGTTTTGCTGCTGTATATGGTGTCTGTGTGTCTCTGTAGCTCGTCTCTGTGGCTCCGGCAGCAGTTGGTTCATGTGGGCTACTGGAAGGAAGGATCCAGTCTGCTGGTGATCGCTGTACCTGCCAGCAGGTAATTCTCATCTTTATAACCATCCCACCTGCCGACAGCCCACTCTAATCGAGATAATAACTATAATAACTGTCATTATAATCAGCTCAGCTCCTAAAACTAAACAATAATCTCTATAATCATCCCGTCCGCATACAAATTAGGGCTGGGTAAAAAATATAGACATCTCGATATTAATCGATTCTCTTTTTTACGGAACGATATCGATTCTTAAATCCCAAGAATCGATTAGTCTAGCCTGTTTTCAGTTAATGGACGGAACATTGAAGGGCACTTCCCATCCAATATATCGCAATAAGCATTGTGCTTTGGTACCTTTAATATGAAACAAAGTATCAGATTTCAAATTCTGTCCATTGTATTGCAGTATTCAAACAATAAATGCCGTTTTGGGGCCGTTTAATGTGGAGTGACAGATCGCTGTAGCGCCTCAGTTCAACAGCGTGAGGCGCACGTGAACTGATCATCTCCTCCACTTTATTACTAGTTATAGCACAAAATAAAAATGACTAAACATCCGAAGGTAAGTTAATAGAAAGAGTACAACTTTACAATCTGTATCCTGTCTCATGTAATCGCTCAATCAGTGTTTCAGCCGCGTAAAGACGTCAATATAACGGCTTGTAAACAATGTCACGTAACGTCACATTTACCTCAGAAAAACATATTCGGTGACCATAAACTCATTAGTCAGCCAGAAAAATAAACTGTAGAGAGGGGCATTTTGCTTAATATATGCACCATGTAACATATTCATTATAATTTTTACTGTTCTTCAGTGTTTAATTTATGTTTGAATAAATCCAAGTTTTTATGACAGCCAACATTTAAATGTTTATATTTAAAAAAACGAATTGAAGTAGAAATATTATGTAACTGTAACTTTATTATTGTAAAAACTTCATTAATTTTAACCTTCAATATTATAGCAATGTTGTATCAACTGACGCTCATGTATATTTTACAGCTTTAATTGAGATTTTTTTTCCTTGAGAAAATTTGGCATGTACTGTACCTGATATATGTCCAAAATAATCGATATTGAATCGAATCACAAGCTTGTGAATGAGAATCGAATTGAATCGTGAAATTTGTGTCAAAACCCAGCCCTAATACGAATATCTGTAATACAGATAATAACTCCAGTGATTGTAATTGGTATTGATCTTTATAATCAGCTCGTCTGATGACACGTGATCTTGGACGTAATCTTCTCAATAATAATCAATAATCCCAGATGTTCAGCTTGTTCATGACGATCGCTGTTTATTGCTCCAGAATGAAGAATGACACAAAAATGACGTCTCCGGATGTGTCCCAATCCTCTAAGTCTCTCAAGTAACCAGAAATACTTTTTAGAAAAAACTGTTTTATTTCATTTTATTTTTTATTTTACAAAAGCATGAGGTTTTTATTTCAAATGTATTTTTATTAATCTCTGAGTGGATGTTCACACTTGTTGGTTTAGATTTTTAAAAGATATTTCTATTTTTTTAAACGTTGTGTTCATTTTAAATTCAGGTTAAACAACAACAACAATAATATTTATTAATATTAGTATTATTATTTTTACGAAATCATTAAAATTAATTAAAATGTTTAGTTTCAGTGTATTCCTAATTTTTCCACCCTTTATTTTATTTCTAGCTTTAGTATTGTTTTTGTTTAATTCACAATTTTGTGTTCTTTTATCTGTTTTTATCTTATTTTATTTTATTTTATTTATATATATATATATATATATATATATAGATTTTTTTTATTTTTTATTATTTATTTATTTTTTACTTTATTTAATTTATTAATATAAAAGCATCAGAAATTTTGTTTAGGATATTTCTATTTTTAAATGTTTTAACAATAATAATAACAACAGTAATATGAATTCTTATTATTATTATTTAAAGTTTGTTTAATTTAATTGTAGTTTTCATCTTTCCATCTTATTTTATTGCCAACTTTTAGCATTGTTTTTGTTTAATTCCTAATTTTCGTAGCTGGTTTTTGAATTATTTATCTATTAGGATTAACCCCTTGAGATGTACCATCTAGTCTTTATGAGTTGTCAGTAATATTTTTGTTTTGAGGTTAATTATAGACATTGTTGGAGTGTTTGTTCCTCAGTTTAGTGTGCATGTGTCCCGCAGGGTGCCTCTGTTGTATCTGCAGACTGTGATTGAGGGAGCTGTCCGAACGCTCAAGGTCATGCACGGCTCTCTTGACAGGTGTGTCTGTATATTTCTGGAGAGCGTTATGTGTGTGTGGATACAGCAGCTGATGACTGCATAACCTCTGTGTCTCTTCAGCTGCTTCTGTGAGGAGGAGAACGCTCCTCGTCTGGATCACTTCTTCTGCCTCTTCTTCCAGCAGCTCATCCAGCCGTGGCGTTTGATTGACAGCTCCAGACCGCCCAGCCCTGACATCTCAGGGAGCCTGTTCTTAGACGGGCTGCCGGCCGTCCGCTGGCTCACTTTACCAGCAGACATAAAGGTGTGGCTACTGAAGCTCTATGTAATGTCTCATGCATTCGTTTAAAGGAATATTTCACCCAATTCTGTCATTTACTCACCTTCATGGTGTCCAAATCCATATGCTGCTGTCTTTCGGTGAACATCCTCATGAAATTGGTACAATATGGGTGTAATATTAATAAATGGCATGCTCTCAGGTGTTTATTATGTTTTGGCTGTTTCTCAAGGTGGAAGTGGACACTGTGCTCTCAGACTTTGAGTCGTCAGATTTTGGGGACATGGTAAGATGTGTTATTGAGCTCAGATAACCCGTTTTTTCTCCATAACTATAGGAAAACATTAAGGAATAAAATCAGTATATGATTTGATGTCAGGTTGTGTTTTGCAGAGATACTGTAGTGATTATCTTAAGTAAAACTAAAACTATTGAAAGATAGTTTTGGTACTTGAAATAAAGATGAATATGTTTTTTTATATATTTATTGAATAAACTAAATATAAATATTTATTGAAATATTAGATGATAACACAAAAAATTTAAACAAATTATAATTATTGCCTTGACATTTATTTATTTAACTTAAAGCACTAAAATAAGTAAATAAAATATAAATAAAAATTCAAATTCACAAAAGCACATAAAAAAATCATTGAAATGAAAATGGAAAATCTAAAAATAAAACCTAATTTAAAATATAAATGTATACATTATTAATATATAGATAATATTATTAATAAAGCTACATTTCATATTATAATTATAATAAATAATAAAAAAGTAAATATGTATTATTTATAATTATCATAACTCCATAACTATAGGAAAACATTAAGGAATAAAATCAGTATATGATTTGATGTCAGGTTGTGTTTTGCAGAGATACTGTAGTGATTATTCTTAAGTAAAACTAAAACTATTGAAAGATAGTTTTGGTACTTGAAATAAAGATGAATATGTTTTTTTATATATTTATTGAATAAACTAAATATAAATATTTATTGAAATATTAGATGATAACACAAAAAATTTAAACAAATTATAATTATTGCCTTGACATTTATTTATTTAACTTAAAGCACTAAAATAAGTAAATAAAATATAAATAAAAATTCAAATTCACAAAAGCACATAAAAAAATCATTGAAATGAAAATGGAAAATCTAAAAATAAAACCTAATTTAAAATATAAATGTATACATTATTAATATATAGATAATATTATTAATAAAGCTACATTTCATATTATAATTATAATAAATAATAAAAAAGTAAATATGTATTATTTATATTACGTGTGTGTGTGTGTGTGTGTGTGTAAAATCCAATAAAAATGGCAAAAGATCGCAGAAAAAAATCACCAAAACTTAAACTAAAATTAAAATGAATAATTTTTTTTATCTCGCAATTCTGACTTTGACATGCAATTGCAACTTTATATCACCCGATTCTGACTTTATAACTCGCAACTGAGAAATTAAATCTCGCAATTTTAAGAAAAAAATGTCTGAATCTTGACATGTAAACTCGTAATTGTGAGAAAATAAGACAGAATTGTGAGATAAAAAGTCGTAATTACCTGTTTTATTTTTTATTCAGTGGCGGAAATGGGCTTCTCTAGTTAACAGTGTTTATGTTCTTTGTCACACTCCTTTTTACACTACTGAAGGTCAGGAATACTGATCTGTTATTTGTCCATCTGTCTGGCAGGGATATCTCATAGCGAACCACCTGCCTAAAGAAGACCTTCTGGACGTGTGTTTGTATTGTCAGCATTACTGTCTGCTGCCGCTGGCGTCGGAGCAACGCGTGGGGCAGCTGGTGGTGTGGAGGGAGGTGTTTCCACAGCGGAGAAACCAGAACAACACTGCATCACATCCTGGATACTGCGAACCACACGGAAGACACTTCCTGCTCATAGTGGGCCTGGTGAGAAATGCTGTTCTTTTGACCTTTCTATTCATCAAAGAAACATGAAATAAAACGTATCACAAAGTATGAAGCATAATAATAAATGTTTCTCGAGCAGCAAATCAGCGTATCAGAATGATTTCTGAAGATCATGTGACACTGAAGACTGGAGTAATGATGCTGAAAATACAGCTGCGCATCACAGAAATAAATTACATTTTAAAATAAATTCACATAGAAAACAGTTCTTTTAACTTGTAATAATATTTCACAATATTACTTTTGACTGTATTTTTACTGAGTCCAAACAGCTGATAAAAACATCCACAAGTAACCCACACCACTCCAGTCCATCAGTTAATGTCTTGAGAAGACAAAAACTGCATGTTTATAAGAAACAAATCCATCATTAAGACTTTTGGAACTTCAAACCATTACTTCTGGCTAAAATACCAGTCCATAATCCATAATAACACTTCCTCCAGTGGAAAAGTCCATCTCATCTGAATCAGGAGAGAAATATACACAGATCAAGCACCGTTTACAAGTGAAAGCAGTCCAAAACAGTCTATATTATATTATATTATATATTATATGTGACCCTGCATCACAAAACCAGTCATAAGTAGCTCAGGTATATTTATAGCAATAGCCAACAATACATTGTATGGGTCAAATGTTTTTTTTTGCCAAAAATCATTAGGATATTAAGTAAAGATATTTTGTAAATTTCTTACTGTAAATATATCAGAACTTATTTTTTGATTAGTAATATGCATTGCTAAGAACTTCATTTGGACAACTTTAAATGTGATTTTCTCAATATTCACATTCTCAATAAATTATGTATAAATCTCAATTTAAAAAAATTGACCCTTATTGGTTTTGTGCTCCACGGTCACATCTTTGGCATTATACTATTGATTATGGACTTGTATTTTGGCCAAAGCGACAAGTTAAAACATCTTAATGCTGGATTTGTTTCTTACAAACACACAGCTTTTTACTTCACAAGGCGTTAATTGATGGACTGGAGTGCTGTGGATTACTTGTGGATTAATATGGTTTGAGCTCAGTAGCTGAACATTGAATTATTGAGAATGTAATGCACACCCAATGTGATGTTTCCAGAGGCACTTCATGCAGTGTGTGTTGCTGGAGGCCGGTGGTTGTGCTTCGCTCGCTCTGGGATCTCCAGGTCCCGACTGCGTCTATGTGGATCAGGTCAAAGCCACACTCCTTCAGCTGGAGAGTCTGGATGCTGCCATTGAGGAGCGGCTCTCGGCTCCGCCCACTCCCTGCCTCTCTTGCGCCGATTGGTTCCTTCCTGCCGGTGGGCGGGACCGACAAGACGGCATCAGCAGCTCGCCAATCCTCAGCCGTCTGACGGCAGCCATCAAACCCCCGTCGCCGGGCGGGATGGGGCGGAGTCTGTTCGGGGAGGCGGGGTCAGGCTCGTCGAGTCTGAGAGGACGGAGGCAGAGTCCACAGAGGAGTCTGTCTGACAGCGGCAGCGAGGGTCACGCCGACGGGACGCCGTCCTTCACATCGGGTCTGAGTCCTCATGCCACACCGGACGCAGTGCACCGGATGCCCTCTAGTAGCACACGCAGAGACTCCCTGGGCTCGGGAGGGTCAGACGGCAGCCTGGGCAGCGCAGGATTTTTCAAGGTCTTTCTCTTACATTAAAGGGTTAGTTCACCCAAAAATGAAAATTCTGTTATTAATTACTCACCCTCATGTCGTTCCAAACCCGTAAGCTCTCTGACCCTCCCATAGACCGCAACGTAATTACCACGATCAAGGTGCAGATACGTAGCAAGGAGATCGGTAAAATAGCAGCGTATGCTATACTGTGTCAGCTGCGTCACACAGATATGTTGTTTTCGTTTAAATCAAAGCGTAAACAACGTAGAAAACGTGTGACGCAGTTGCTGTCTATGGGAGGGTCAGAGAGGTCTCAGAATTCATCAAAAATATCTTCATTTGTGGTCTGAAGATGAACGAAGGGTTACGGGTTTGAAACGACATGAGGGTGAGTAATTAATGACTGAATTTTCATTTTTGGCTGAACTATCCCTTTAATCACAGTTCATGCCGTGCTGTTTCACTAGTAGTACGTTTTACAGGGGTCAGTCTCACAAAACATCAAAAAAAGACCATATTTCATCCTGATAATAAATTACATTATTTAAATTGGTTGAAATTAATTAAATCTTTCACAATTAAAGCATCAGTTATTGAATATAACGTATTTGATGTGCGTAGGTTTGTGTAATATATCAATAAATTAAAGGTGAATTGTGTGATTTCTGCACCGCTAGCATCACCAAACTGAAATGAAGATATTTTTGATGAATTCTGAGAGCTCTCTGACCCTTTCATAGACAGCAACGTAATTACCACGATCAAGGTGCAGATACGTAGCAAGGAGATCGGTAAAATAGCAGCGTATGCTATACTGTGTCAGCTGCGTCACACAGATATGTTGTTTTCGTTTAAATCAAAGCGTAAACAACGTAGAAAACGTGTGACGCAGTTGCTGTCTATGGGAGGGTCATAGAGGTCTCAGAATTCATCAAAAATATCGGAACGGAGGGTTACGGGTTTGGAACGACATGAGGGTGAGTAATTAATGACTGAATTTTAATTTTTGGCTGAACTATCCCTTTAATCACAGTTCATGCCGTGCTGTTTCACTAGTAGTACGTTTTACAGGGGTCAGTCTCACAAAACATCAAAAAAAGACCATATTTCATCCTGATAATAAATTACATTATTTAAATTGGTTGAAATTAATTAAATCTTTCACAATTAAAGCATCAGTTATTGAATATAACGTATTTGATGTGCGTAGGTTTGTGTAATATATCAATAAATTAAAGGTGAATTGTGTGATTTCTGCACCGCTAGCATCACCAAACTGAATTCAATAGTGATTGAATTCAAACAATCACTGTCTTTCATTGCTCCAACTAAAGTTTGGTGCTGACATAAAACACTTGCTTTGTACATTCCCATAACAACCTGCAGAGAAAGAGAAGTGACATCTAAGTAATATAATTAGATTTTTCCAGCAGTGAGACGTCAGAGTGTATATATCAGCGCTGCATATGAATTATGATCCGGCCGTCTGTTATTGGGTATGTGTCAGAACAGCCTCTCCTCTCATATAGCAGCATCAGGAGCTGCTGTTATAAATCATGTCCATCTGAGTTCAGCTTACAGAGTGGACGTCCTGGATGAAGCTTTCAGGCTCATAAATTCTCCTAGAGAGAGACCAGCTCAAGCAAACGCATGGAAACTAGCTTTCATCACGTGTAGGTCAGAGCAGCAGACAGTAGTTGCGCTTGTTAGATGAAGAGCGGCAACATTTATACAGCCAAGTCAGATCAAGTTCAGCACAGGATATATTGATATAAAAACAGGCCTGTGATATTTCTCTCTTAATTTCAATATTGATTTTTTTTTTTTTTTTTAAGTTTAGGCTTTTTCTTTTACATTCAAGATTCAAGTGCACTTTAATAACAATAACTCCTCTAATAATATTTTGTATAGTCCAGCACAAAATGTAATCCTTTTTTCTTTTTTTTTTAAGTTTAGGCGTTTTCTTTTACATTCCAGATTCAAGTGCACTTTAATAACAATAGCCTCTCTATAATATTTTGTATAGTCCAGCACAAAATGTAATCCAGTCCAATCATATTTGTGTCCCTGGACCACAAAACCAGTCATACGGGTCAATTTTGTGAAATTGAGATGTATACATCAGATGAAAGCTGAATAAATAATCTTTCCATTGATGTATGGTTTGTTAGGATAGGACAATATTTGGCTGAGATGAAAATCTGGAATCTGAGGGTGCAAAAAATTCTAAATATTGAGAAAAACGCCTTTAAAGTTGTCCAAATAAAGTCCTAAGCAATGCATATTACTAATCAAAAATTAAGTTTTGATATATTTACGGTAGGAGATTGACTAAATATCTTCATGAAACATGATCTGTTCTTAATATCCTAATGATTTTTGGCATGAAAGAAAAATCTATAATTTTGACCCATACAATGTTTTTTTGGCTATTGCTACAAATATACCCCTGCGACCGAAGACTGCTTTTGTGCTCCAAGGCCACATTTTATTTTATTCTATTTTGTGTTTCGTTTTATTTTAAATTTTCTTTTTTTATTTGACATTTTTTAATCGGCTGTTTTTAATTGACATTAAATGCACTTCAGTAGCAATAACTCTTCAGTAAAATTGTGTATAGTCCAGCATAAACTGTAATCCAGTCTTTATCCAGTTTTGTGTGTGTGTTCTGTCAGATTCCCAGGTCGAAGCATCCTAACCCTTTCTATCTGGGCTCGTTGAGGAAGAGTCTGACTGACAGAGAGACTGAGGAGATGCACAGCGTTCTCAAGTGAGTTCATCTAGTTGTATGACCAACTTTTATAGTACTTTTATTACCTTTTGTGTTTAATGGAAGAAAAATGGTTGTAACCACAGCTGGGTAGTAACTAATGACATGAAATCTGGATTACGTAATCAGATTTAAAAAATGAAGTACTTGTAATTAGATTAAATTACATTTTAAAATTAGCTTTTTTTGATTACATGATTACATATTATTCACACAATAGCAAAATATTAATCATAATTTTTTGATTCTCCCCAATTCCTCTTTTTCATATTTAAAATTGTCCTTTCTTTTCCTGTGGATATTCACACAAAGACCAGCATTTGACCACTGGATTTACAAAGATCAAAGAAGTGTTTTTAACATTGCATCAACTACTGATGAACACATTGGATTTATTTAAATTACCACTCAGTGGGTTATTTAACTATGTATTACTTTGTCTTTGGAGGGCTTTTTTCTTTCAAACACATTACAATGCACAAATTCATGATATTTCTTATTTATATGTAATGCATGGATTTCCAGACTTTTTTCTCAGCCGAACCTCTTTCCCCTAATATATAGACTGACATACCCCTGAGATTTTAAAATAAATGTTTTAATAATGAAGTATCACATTTGCATGTTCTTGGTTCTCTGGCGTTGGTTAATGATCACATGACGTGCAGGTAAACAAAAAAAATATATATATATTTTAAAAAATGATTTATTTTAATTTGACATTTTTATGACCCCCTGCAGTTCCTTCACAAACACCAGTTTGGGAAACCTTGACGTCATGTAATGTTTAATGCACTTTTTAATGTTGTTAATTACAACGAATGGAGTCTATTTGTATTTTTATATCAATATGGTACAAGATCAACAGTGTGATAAACAAGTTATGTTAAAAGTAATCTGAAAGTAATCTTATCATATAGTGTAATGTAATGGATTATGTTACTAACTACAGTTTTTGTCATGCATTTTGGAATCAGTAACGGACTAGAGTTTGTGAGTAATCTACCCAGCTCTGGTTGTAACAGGTGTACCGTAAGTCACTTTAAATGACAAAATGCCTACTTCTCAAGAGCAGATTGAGTGGTTTGACCTCACGTCATGTGAATGCTGTTCAGGCGATCACAGTTGTGTGTGTGTGTGTGAGACAGACTGACGACGGGTGCTGAGAACACACTCTTCCATTACGTGCTGATGGAGACGGTGCAGGGCATCTTCATCGCTCCCACACACAGAGAAATTAATCATCTGAGCGGCTCCATCCACCCACAGCTCATCCAGAACTTCTACCACTGCTGTCTGTCCATACGCCAGGCCTTCCAGCAGAGCCTGCCCTCACGGGTAACACCTCAAACACTGACACCATCTGCAGCAGATCAGCATATTAGAATGATTTCTGAAGGACCATGTGACACTTGAGGACTGGAGGAATGATGCTGAACATTCAGCTTTGATCACAGCAATAAATTACAGTTTACAATATATTCACATAGAAAACAGCTATTTTAAATTGTAATAATATTTCACAATTGTACAGTTTTTACTGTATTTTTGATCAAATAATTAGTCTAGGTGAGCATAAGAGACAAAAAATTGAACAGTGGTGCATTTCATTCTATAAATAATTTAAAATGAGTATTTGTTTTTTTTTGTCATTTAAATTGTACAATTTGCATTTAAAATAATTTATTTTTAAAATTGAACTTCATTTTTAATACTTAATTTAAATAAAAAGTGTCATTTTAACAGAAAACATTTTTATTTTTAAATTAATAAATTGATAATTTTTACAGTATTTACGTAATTTTTATCGGTTTAGACTTAATTTAGTTCATTTGTAGTTTTTCGTTCAAGTTTTTCATTTTAGGTCAGCTTTATTACAATTACTGAAAATAATTTGTAGTAGTTGTTATCTGTTCCTGTGTATTTCAACCAATCTATTAAACAGTGTCAAAACATTTAATTAATTAAGTTCAATCATGACAACTCTCTGAAGATTTTAGCATGGTGACAATGTTAATGTATTTGGTCTTGGCGGAACAGATCTGCTACGCTGCTGCTGAATTGCTGCTGCTGTTGGTTATTGCTGTAGTTGTAGATTATTGCTGCTGCTGCAAGCAAGTACAGGAACTTGCTACTGCCAATACATATGGCGATATGTTGCCATGAGTATTTAAGACATACTGCTGCTGCACAAATAGCAAACAAAATAAACCGTAGCAGATCTATACAGGTGGAGCTGGGGATGGGGGAGGGTTTCAGAGAAACTCTGAAAGCGTGCTGCAGGAATCTCAAGTGAATGCTAGCCAGCCATATAAATGCAAGGCAGTAGCTCATTGGCTGCATATGCAGCATGAACCAATCAGCTTGTGCCAAGTCGTTTAACTCTCTGAATATCATCAGTTACGTTAACAACCCGTCAGCCTGCGCCATCTAGAGTTTCATGACTGAACTATATATTTATAATTTCTCTGCTATAATATTTTTGGCACGGTTTCGTCATCTCATGCATGTGTAAATGTGTTTCAGGACCGCAGAGGGTCGGAGCGGCCGCAGAGCACTCGAGGTTTGGGTCCGGTCAAAGAACATGGAGTTTTGTTCCAGTGCAAACCCGAGAACTGGACCGATCAGAAGAAACCAGCGCCCACCATGACCTACTGGGTTATAGGGTGCGTGTTCAGACAAGTGATTGACAGCTGTTCTTACAGTTTTGAGCTCAAAAAACTTTAACTCGCATCACATGTGTTCACATCTCACATGCACCGTTTTCCATTACGGACTGCATTACAACGCCAATGCAAATGCTCTGGAGTGAAACATTCTCCCATCATGCACCTGTCTGTAAATGCAAAGCATACAAAAAGAGCTTAGATATGTGAGACGCTGACATGCATACAGCAGGAAAACATCAAAAGTATAATGTTTTCCGATCTCTCGTTTGCGTTCCAGGCGAATGCTTCTCGAACCCATTCCTCAAGAGTTTTACGTGTGCTTCCATGACTCCGTGGCTGAAGTTCCTGTGGAAATGGCCTTCCGGCTGTCGTTCGGCTTGGCCGTGTAGCACTGTAACACGAGCACAGCGTCAGACAGCACAGTCTGCTCTACGACAAGCTTTTTGGGAGGTAAATCCACTATAGACGCGGACAGAAAACTACTGGTTCATGTTTAAAGGAAAAGAGCAGCCAAAAATGAAAATTTGTTGAAAATGTCCTCACTCTCAGGGCATCCAAGATGTCGATGAGTTTTTTCTTCATCAGATTTGGAGACATGTAGCATCACTTGCTCATCAATGGATCCTCTGCGGTGAATGGGTGCCATCAGAATGAGTCCAAACAGCTGATAAAAACATCACAATAATCCACACCACTCCAGTCCATCAGTTAATGTCTTTAAGTGAAAAGATGCGTGTTTTTAAGAAACAAATCAATAATTAAGATGTTTTAACCATAATTTTCTGCCAAAATACGAGTCCATAATCCATAATAATGCGAACCTCCAGTTCAGTGAAAAAGTTGTCTGGTCTGAATCAGGAGAGGAATATGCACAGATCAAGCACTGTTTAAAAGCACAAGTGAAAGCGGTCCAAAGCAGATATAAACAAATATGTTGGTGGATTAAGTATTATTATGGATTATGGACTCGTATTTTGGCCAGAAGCATCAGTTAAAAGTAAAAAACAAACACGCAGCTTTTCACTTCACAAGACATTAATTGATGGAGTGGTGTGGGTTACTTGTGGATTATTGTGATGTTTTTATCAGCTGTTTGGACTCTCATTCTGACGGCACCCATTCACATCCATTGGAGAGCAAGTAACGGAATGCTACGTTTCTCCAAATCTGTTCCAATGAAGAAACAAACTCGTCGACATCTTGGATGGCGTGAGGGTGAGGACATTTTATGCAAATTTTCATTTTTGGTTTAAGCATTCCTTTATGATAAGATGACTATCCTTGTTTTAATCATATGTTATTTTGGGTTATTTTGCACAATGGAAGTTCAAAACAGGCAGCAACGTCTGCAGCAATAAACTAATGAACCAGACAATAAAATGCATTGACATGTTAAAAGAACAACTTTAATACCTCAAACAATGCTGGATTTCTTCAACGAGCACAAGCTACAGGCTTATGAACACTCTCAGCAGAAAAACTGATCATGAAATGATGTTTTCACTTGACTTTTCCTTGCTGGATCAAGTGAAATTGTTTTCTAAGCAGCTTTTATGACCAAAGCCTTAACAACACTTCTGAACGTTGTGATATGAAATGATTTAGTATTTTATTGAAGGTGTAGAACTCCATGTTCCTCGTTAAAACTTTGTAATGCATTGTTCATCCAACAAATGTGCATCATTTATCAAATAAATGAAAGCAGATTTACTTAAGCTGTTCATTATTTCAGTCTTTTTACAAAAATAAGGCTGCGCTCTTAAGTCTGGGTCGTTTCAACAAGGAGTCTGTTACATAATTAAACAAGAATGAACATGTTATAAAACATTTTTATATTCAAATTCAATGTAATGTACGTTTTACAGAGAAATATTCAGTTCAAACTCAGTGGTTTTATTAACTACACATTCATTTTCATGATTCATGAATTTCTTTGTAACTAATTTGCAATTCTTAATTGTCACAATGAATTGAATTTTTTTTTTTAATTTGTAGTAAGTTAAATTTGTTAATGCATTATGCAGTATGCATTAATGTTAATAAATTGAACCTTCCTATAAAGTGTTACTTTCATAAATTCAGTTTAGTTTTGGTTTAGAATGACGCTTTGTGGGCTTCAAATGCATAAAATAAACCAGATTTACATGAGGCTTTCTTTATTTCAGACTTCTCACAAAAATAAAACTGTGCTTTTAAGTTTTAATGATAGTGAGCTTCATTCATTAAACACAAGCAGAATTAATGTTTTATTAGTAACATTATACACAAATTCAATGCAACAACTTTCAGTTTGTTACAGAATGATTTATAGATATATTTGCCATCTTTGATCTCAGTTCAAAGTAATTTTTTGCACAGAAATGTGTTCTCATGATTCTTCATGATGATCATTTGTAATTAACTGTCACATTGAACTGAAATTGGGCAACACTTTACAATAAGTTCAATTTGTTAACATTAGATATCATAAACTAACAATGAAAATACTATAAAGAATTTATTAATTTATATGCATATACATACACACACACACATATATATATGGGCGTGTGTGTATATATATATATATATATATATATATATATATATACACACATACGTACATATATGTGTGTGTATAATATTTATTCATACATTTACATTAAGTTCAATTAATAATTGCATTAAAAATAGTTCATTGTTAGTTCAGAAAACCTAATATTACCACATTGAACCATACCGTAAAATGTTACTGCTTGTGTTTCATGAATTGCACTTTGAATGCACAAAATAAACTTCAGCATGATTTTACACCGATTAATCAAAGAATTTTGTGTCTGTTGTACAACATAATTGCATGGACCTACTATTTTTAAACACACACACCGTTGACAGATGGTGCTTTAAGCGACTTCCTGCACCAGCGTCAGGTTCTTCCTGTAGCACTCCAGACTGCACAGCGGCGTCCCGGTCCTGGAGCAGGAGTATTTCTTCAGTTTGGGGCATCCGGACACGCCGCAGCTCAGGGGCGCGGGGGGAGGCTCTGGCAGGGCAGCGGGCGTCGGGACGGGGATCCCGGCGGGGTACGAGACGGTGGTGCCCTGAGCGTTACTGCTGTACCTCACCATGGGCAGCTGCGCCTGCTTAGACCTGCGCTCCTTCATGCTCTTGATCTTGGCCTTGCTGGTCTTGGTCAGTCTCTCGATGGTCTGGTTCTTGTTTTCCTCAGCTTTCTTGGCGGCCTGCAGGCGTCTTTTGCGGGCGCGCTCCTCGCGCTTCAGCATCATCTCGGCCGTCAGCTCCTTCTCCTTGTATCCCATGGGCAGCTCCAGTAACGGCTGGCTCTGCTGCTTATGTAGGAGCGCTTTCTGTTCAGACCGAGAAGAAACTTTGTTAAGATACCTTTAATGCTTCAATTAAAGTCACCAATCAACTATTCATTTTCAACTCATCACATTTTGTGTGATGATAATAACATACAGTACTCAGGGCTTAAAGTTTTCCGGCACCGTGCCGGATCTCCGGCGTGCGGCGTTTGGCTGCGGGGAAAAAAAGTCGTTCTAAATTTAAAAACACTTGTTGATATCACGTTCGAGTCCATGAGTTCGCCTACCAATGTATGAGAGGAACATAGCATTCCATCGAGCGTCATATTTAAATAGAAAAGCTATTAAAAAAACAGCGGAGCTTTGTAAACAGCTCAGAGTAATCACGTCATCTCCATAAGAACGATATGATTGCCAGAACGAATTTACCGGGATTTTTGAAAAGGTCCTGTAATGCTTCAATTAAAGTTACCAATCAACTATTCATTTTCAACTCATCACATTTTGTGTGATGATAACATACGGTACTCAGGGCTTAAAGTTTTCCGGCACCGTGCCGGATCTCCAGCGTGCGGCGTTTGGCTGCGGGGAAAAAAAGTCGTTCTAAATTTAAAAACACTTGTTGATATCACGTTCGAGTCCATGAGTTCGCCTACCAATGTATGAGAGGAACATAGCATTCCATCGAGCGTCATATTTAAATAGAAAAGCTATTAAAAAAACAGCGGAGCTTTGTAAACAGCTCAGAGTAATCACGTCATCTCCATAAGAACGATATGATTGCCAGAACGAATTTACCGGGATTTTTGAAAAGGTCCTGTTCACACATGATCTCTTAATGGTAACTTACGAGTAAAGACTGTATGTGTGAAAGGGGCTAAACTCTTCCTCTGCATATGCGGTGAGTTTGGGTTGCTTAACGTTCATCTGGGAAAACTCACTTGATCGGTAACGTAAATCATTTAAACCAATGCCAACACAGGAGAATACATCAACATATTTCTAAATATGCAATTTATTGTACATCACTATTTCAAAATAAAAATTTCTGACTTTGCATGTGGCCAAATATTAAAATTAAATGGATTTAAACGTCGTTGAAATACATGAAACATCACCAGGCCGTTGGCGCCCTCTGCAGGTATTTGTTTTAACATATCACATTATTTATTTAACGGTGTTGTTCAATAAAACCATGTACTTGGTTTTGATACTTTACTTGAGGCTAATTATTATTGCCTCATCTTTACTTTACATATAAATAGTCATATTAAAGCCTGTTTTTCACTTAGTTCTTTTTGTATTACTAAAAAATATCAGATTACTCACTTGTCAAAATAATCCGTAGATTACTTGATTATCAAAATAATCATTAGTTAAGCACTAGATTAGTTAAAACATTTCAAAATGCAACTGCATTGTTTTACTTTTTGTGATTAAAAGACTAATATTTTGTCATTTGAAAATTTCTTAAAAGTATTAAAACATTCTCGTTCTAGTGAACTAAGTATCTATATTTTGTCTCATCTGGTGAGCTAAGTGTATTGTCACACCCCTAGTGTCGATAAGCGGTGATATAGCTCATAATTTTCCAAGTGTATGATATAGCTTTCATTCTTCAAGTCAATCATATATTCATGAAAAAAAAAATCAGTTTGAATAAGGAAAGCGATAACTTTGCCATAGTATCCTTTCAAATGTTAAAGTTGCCACAGTCATTGCATTCTTTGCATGTGCCGCACTTTATTTATACCATTTTGTTTTATTAGTTTATTTATTAAAACTTGAAAGATAATAACAATATTGATTAATAAGTGAGATCTGATTTTAGTCCTTGAAAACCAAAAAAGTAGTGCACGTATCTGTACAAACCCTGTTTAAGTTACCAGTTCTTGGACCATTTTAATGTTTTTGTTGTAAACTGTAGTAAACTGTTTTTGTATATTTCCTATTTTATATTAATTTCCTAGTATTTAATTTACCATTATTTCTTTTGAACAAAACAATTTCAGAAATGTCATGTTTTAGATTGTAGGTCATCTTGTACCCTGTCAAGGACAAAGCTAACCAGCAAAACTTGATATCAAAAGCATCCTAAATGTTACATGTGTTTGCACCATATTGTAGTGAGTAACCTTTCTTGGTATTGCTGTTTCAAATATCCCTCCATAATCTGTAGCCTGAGCCTGTCAAGGGCTAATGGCAATGGCAGATATGTTACTAATTAGTAACATTAAAGGAAAATCATTTTCTTTTTTTATTTGCCAAATAACCCTGTGTATGTGTCCGCCCCCGCAACCCCCGGAATAAAGTTCAGGCTCAGGATTTGTTTTGCTTTAACCCCTGAGTACTGTTCAAGTCTCTAATGCTCACCACGGCTGCATTTATTTGACAAATAAGTATGGTAACTGCTGTAAAACATTATTGGAATTTAAAATAACTGTTTTCTATTCCAATATATTGTAAAATATAATTTATTCCTGTGATCAAAGCTGAATTTTCACAGCATCATTACTCCAGTCTTCAGTGTCACATGATCTTTAGAAATCATTCTAATATGCTGATTTGCTGATCGAGAAACATTGTAAAGGGTGTACAGCGATACACAAAGTGCTATATAAATGCATCATTCATTCAAAGAAAAAAAAAATCTTACTCCAAACTTTTGAACGGTAGTGTATAACTTCATGCTATTCAATATTATTTACATACTACCATAGTTTAAATTAGCTTTTATTTTTATACATTCAGTTTTCATTTTAATTTTAGTTACATTTTTAGTCATTGTTTGTTAATATTATAACTTTAGTTTATTTTAAATATTACTATTTAGGTTTAATTTAATTGATTTCATTTCAGTTTTGGTTTTAAATTTTTTCCAGTTAGTAATTTTAGTGCTTCAAATTCAACTAGATGAAAATATACTATTTTTATAACAACACTGCCTGAAAATCTAATCTGATCTAATATTTATATTCTATTATTTTTACATGTATTATTTCACCTTTTAGTAAACAATAATAACCCTCGTCAGGTTAAGGTAAGGTTTGTGCATCTTCACAACACAAAACTGAGTTTTTGTTTTATGTAGGTTGAATGATAGTTGATTGTGTGTGTTTCATATGACACCTGTCTGGCTGTGAGCAGAGACTCGTCGATCTGTTTCTTCAGCTCTCCGTTATCATCCAGCTCTCCTTTCTCCAGCGCATCCAGCCATCGCTCCTCCTCATCCATCGGGCCGCCCAGCAGTGAGTCCGTGTCCAAGTCCGGCACAGGAGACGGGTCCAGGTTACTGTCTTCATCTGGTATTACCAACAAAAACACACTCTTGCACATTAGCACTGGCTGCGATTCACTCAAATATATGTGTTTTTGCTATATTAGAACGGTTCAGTCACCCAGCCAGGCTCGGTACTGCTCGATAGGAACTCCCTCTGACGGCACGTCATCATCAGAGTCATTGTCATCATCATCCTCATCATCATCATCACTCTCTACATTCAGAGGCGACACTGAGCGCAGAGAGTCCGGGATCACTGTGAATGTAGGCACACTGAAACAAGAACAACATTCAGTAAACACCTTTGTTAAAGGTGACTCACATTACACTCGTTACAGAGACAACTTTACACTTATCAGGGTTCTTACACCTTTTCCAAAGTCAAATTCAAGCACTTTCAAGGTGCATTTTCAAGATTTTCCAGTACTTTACAACTGTGGTAAATTACATGTTTACATAATCCTTGAGTTCTTCAATTTAAATCAGATGTTCGTTCAAGGTATCTTGGAGAGGTGAGGTGTCCAAGTCTCAACATCTAGCTACTGGGGTGCCTCAGGGCTCAGTTCTTGGACCACTTCTCTTCTCCGTCTACATGGCATCACTAGGTTCTGTCATTCAGAAACATGACTTTTCATATCACTGCTATGCTGATGACACTCAACTCTACCTCTACTATACAACTGTGGTAAATTACATGTTTACATAATCCTTGAGTTCTTCAATTTAAATCAGATGTTATTGTGCTATGAACAACCACCTGTCTGGATTGCATATAACATTGCCTAATATAAATAGCCAACATACAGTAAATAAATCAGCTCACACTGGGTTTGAAAATCCAAATGTTTGGTCACTAGCCCAGATCTTTATGCCTTACCAATAATTCACCCAAACATACAATATATTTGTTTTGTTTTTTGGGGAGAACTATTGATTTAATGCACAAATAAACCAATATAAAGAGCATATGCATTCATTTTTACATTATTGTCTACAGTATAAGAGATTTGTTCTGGTTATCACTTCATTATTTCAGTAAGAAATTGACACGTGTTTTGTTAGTGTAAATTTATAGAAATCAAATGATGTAAAAAAGACAAAAAGCTCATGTATAGAAATCTCAGCCTCATTTATTGCTGAAACGCAGGTAAACTGCCTGACCTCTTGGTGCCCAGAGTTTGTCCTCCTAGTTTGATCTTGAGCTTGAGCTGAGGAGGTTTCAGCAGCAGCATCCCGGAGTCTGACTCCAGCGCCTCGGAGGAGAAACTGTGGCCGTCGTCACGATGGTGCTTCTTCTTGTGTTTCTTGTGCTTCTTGTGTTTCTTCTTGTGCACGCTGTAATCATCCCCGCTTGCTACAGAACAAACACCAACAACCAAACATAGTCAGTGCTGGGAAGGTTACTTTGGAAATGTAATAGCTTACAGATTATTTAAAATGCAATAAGTAGTGTAACTATTTTAATTACTTTATTCAAGTAATGTAACGGATTACATTTGACTACTTTTGTACTTTTAAATCATAATAATTTAATTTAAAACACAGCCACCACAAAATCAGACTTTGGCACTCGACTCTTTTTACTTTTATATAATTCTGAGGTTAAATAGAGAGATAAAATCACAAGAAATAGTCTATAACGCTGGTTTTGGAATCAAATCTTTGCATAGCTATGACTGGAAACACTGGCATCTAACAGCTAATCTTAAAGAAATAAAGCATATACATAAACCCAAATAGGAAATAAATCAATTAAATTATTAAAAGGAAAGAAGTCAATTAAATCTGTGTGTGTGTGTGTGTGTGTGTGTAAAATTATTCAGATGTAACCCCCTTTTGTAAAAGTTAACATTTTCATAAGTTACTGTAATTTAACTACACATTTTTCTCAGTAACTGATTACAGTTACATTTATTTTGTAATTAAATTACGTAATTCCGTTACATGTAACTAGTTACTCCCCAACACTGCACATAGTTAATTAGAAACAATAAACAATAAGCTTAACAATAAGCTCATAACAGTTCCGTGCATGTTAAGAAATGCGTTTTTATTACTCAAAGAGACACGTGGGTGCAGAAAAACTGTATTCTAGCACTCTCTCCTCTATAAATGACTTACCAGCGAGAAATCTGTGGTGGATCATGTCTTTGCGCTTCCCCATGGACAAGTAAATGAGTCTGGTCTTAATTAACCACCACAATAATCATGTTGAACACATTTTCTCCGACTGCAGAGCAGATCAGACGAACGCAAACCTGCTAATTCATGTGCAAACCGCCCGTTAACTGAATAAAAGCGTTCTGTTAATACACTAAACCTGTGAAAGAATAACACCTTCGGTATTAAAACGAAATATCAACTATGACACGCTAGTAATACAGCCAAGCCTCCCGTAAATATCTCTATTTTTCTCCCTTAGCTTTCTAGCATTGTTTACAAAATGTGCTTCCTCGCGGCAAAGCATTGTGGGTAATGTAGTTCGCGTCACGTGTCACAACGGCGCTGTTAGTTTTCATAAATAATTTTTCTTTTACTTTCTTTCTTTCTGAAATACTGTTTATATATTGTTATATTGATATTCAATCAAATAAAAAAATAATTTAGGAGCGGCCTAAATACACCTCATGCATCCTCCGCAGTCCTGTGAAAGAAGGTCGCATGAAATGAGACGGTCTCGATGATGCACGCTGCCTTTAAATGAGACGCAGCTATATATGAGGAAGTCTCGGCTTCAGAGGCTAGGCTTCATCGCCTGTAATATTTGCGTCGTTTAGCAATGTTTGAAGTTCTTTTGATGATTGTGTTATGTATTGATGTGTGTAGGTGCTGACTGTGTTGATTTGCGTCTGTTGCACACCTTTTTGTTTTTACTTGCATAATCAAAAACTTGAGCACTTTAGCATTCTGTTGCACAACTAATCAATTGTATTTGCTTTGACTGTTTAAAAACATGTGCTACATTTTAAATGTAATTTTTTTTGGCTATAGGACAACCTATTTAATGTCATATTTAGAAAATAATGAAATATGACTACTACCTCTTAGTCAGCTCCTATGTAAAAAGCTCATGTTTAGAAGTTGCACAATCAATAAAGGGCCCGGTATTTAAGTTTGCACAAAAACAAATCTATATTCTCTGTATGCTTTCTGTTGCACAGTTAATCACTTGGCTTTGTCTGTTTATGAACATGTGCAACATTCCCATTTTCCTCTCTTTTTTTGGTTTTATTTCTGGAACCAGTTCCTGTTCAACAAGGATCCTTTAAAGGGCTTTTTAGTCATTTCTAAGTGATTGCATTGCTTTAGTTTCTTCTATAATACTATTCGATAGCCTATATCTGGATAATATCATTAAAGGAATTAGGATTGCTTCCAAATTATGAATGATCTCATTGAATTTGATATGAATTATCACTGACATTCCTTCTCTGGTTCATTTTCTGTTTATTTATTTGTGAATACGCACAGGGATCTTTTAATGGGCTTTTTACACTTGTAGAGATTACAGAGATAGTTTAGTCAGTTTCTTCTATGATCACCATAAATACCATTTAAAGACCCATTAGGATTGCTTTAAATTATGATAGAAACTCCGTTTACATTAATTTGGTGGAATATTATAACGAACATTTTAATACAATTTCACAATTTTTTTCAACCAATTTCTGGTTTAAGCTGGTCCTTTGCTGGTTTAAACTGGTCCTTTGCTGGTTTAAGCTGGTCCTTTGCTGGTTTAAACTGGTCCTTTGCTGGTTTAAGCTGGTCCTTTGCTGGTTTAAACTGGTCCTTTGCTGGTTTAAGCTGGTCCTTTGCTGGTTTAAACTGGTCCTTTGCTGGTTTAAGCTGGTCCTTTGCTGGTTTAAACTGGTCCTTTGCTGGTTTAAGCTGGTCCTTTGCTGGTTTATGCTGGTCCTTTGCTGGTTTATGCTGGTCCTTTGCTGGTTTAAGCTGGTCTTTGCTGGTTTATGCTGGTCCTTTGCTGGTCCTTTGCTGGTTTATGCTGGTTCTAAGCTGGTCATGTGCTGGTCTTAAGCTGGTCGGACCAGTTTAGGACCAGCACATGCCAGCTAAACTTAAATCAGCAAGGGACCAGCATAAACCAGCAAAGGACCATCTTAAACCAGCTCAAACCAGTATCCCAGCTTCAAAACATACCTAACCAGCATATGCTGTTTTTTTCAACAGGGCTGACAGAATTTCATGTGAAATGTTCACGCGATATTATCATAATTTTACATTCCGACTTGTAAAAACTATTCACGTCCTCATCCTTTTTATGAGCCGTTTTCCGAAGCTTTCTCGTTCTCAAGACGGCCACCGTCAGTCACATAATCATATCTCTTTAATTGCGCTCTAGTCTTTGGACAAAGGCGCTCAAACCACTGTAGCCTAATGTAATCTATTAACTACGCACATCATAACGTTTTAGGCAAGTAGGCTACCATATTATGACAAAATATTTTAATAAGACTGAATTTGTATTTAACCTGATCACGTTTAATAAAAATAAATTTTAAGTTTCATTAGTGCCGCATGTCCATGATTATTTAAACAACGAACAAATTATACAGCGAGCAAAGAACATTTACATTATCAAAGAATATCACTGAATTCAGTCTAGCGTAAGCACTCTAAAAAAAGCTATAAGCTTTAATCAGTGATGTTGTCTGCAGTGTATGATGAATCCATCTCTTATTTACATCACATGTACATCTGCACTTTGTTGTTTCTAATGAGAGAATTCGCACTGACCAAAATAATATATATAATATAATATTTAGTAAAATCCCCTTAAATTATAGAAATATTAAAGAAAAAATTCTTGAACTAAAATCACAAATATATATTTTTATGTCTTCATGTGTATGTTAATATATAAGAGTTTGGGCTGTTTAATATTAGGATTTTGTCAAAAATCCCCCACCATGGCCCCGCCCTGCAACATCAAACCCCGCCCCCAGCACCCCCCAGATAAAATATGTTCCCACGGCTATGTTTAAAGGGGTCATATGACGTGAAAATGTAAAATAAAAGCTAATCCAAAATATCAATTATATACTGTAGTAATGTATAAATTATACCAAAAACACATAATAACATAAATATAAAAACGTAAATGTAAACTACACCAATAAAAACAAATTGTTACTTGAAATGAAAAAAAAACAAACATTTTATTTTATCTAGTTGCCAAGGCAACATTTCTCATTTTCATTTAGTTTGAGTTGATGTACTAAAACAACTAAAACTGGAAATTTATTTTTATAAAAACTATATAGACATATTTTTTAAAAAATGACATGAACACGCATCCCAATTACTAGAACTTAAAAATATAAAAGCTAATCCAAAATATCAATTATATACTGTAGTAATGTATAAATTATACCAAAAACACATAATAACATAAATATAAAAACGTAAATGTAAACTACACCAATAAAAACAAATTGTTACTTGAAATGAAAAAAAAACAAACATTTTATTTTATCTAGTTGCCAAGGCAACATTTCTCATTTTCATTTAGTTTGAGTTGATGTACTAAAACAACTAACACTGGAAATTTATTTTTATAAAAACTATATAGACATATTTTTTAAAAAATGACATGAACACGCATCCCAATTACTAGAACTTAAAAATCAAAACGGATAGTAAATAATTTAGGATATAATCTTAAAATAAAATCCTAATTTTCACCAATATAGCATACATCTCTAATCAGGGTTATTACCGGTACCTAAAGTAAAAACTAACATGTTAGTTACTTGAAATAAAATTAAATGTTAACTGAAATCAAATGAAACAAACTTAACTAAAATAACTAAAAGATAATAAAAACTACACCGACCATTAAAAAAAAAAAGACTAAAACTTTAACTGAAATTAAAATGAAATCAGAAAATATAAATATATATATAATTAAAAACTATAAAAGCATCTAAAATAACATTGTCCCAATATATGCTCTTCTTGTGGATACACTCTGTTCCTGATGTTTGTAATCTGTGAATTGTGTTTGATATTACAAGTGATATGCTTATAGAATTATGTGGCACTATTTAGAATGAAATCAAATGGTAATTCTTCACTCTGATCATCAGATATGTGAGATGCTGGTCAAGTCTGGAGATAGCATCCTCCTCGACGCTCCCACGCAGCTGTATGAAGCACACTTCCCATCATCACCATGTTTTACCTGCGATCTCTCTCTCTCGGTCTCAACCCATTAAACGTGAACATTACCAACTCTTTCATCAACAGCTGCAGCCGCTGGGGGCTGTAACCTCATGATCCCTGCAGACCTGAGGAAGCTCCTGGAGCGCTGGGACCCGGCAGACGCACAGAACCCGGGAAGCAGCGCCCCGAGAGTCCTGTACACCATCCCGAATGGAACTAATAGAAAACTAAAAATATTAACAAAAGCTAATTCAGAATATCAATATATACTATACTAGTATATAAATAATACTAAACTTACAACAAAAACTGAAAATATTATTTATATATACACTATTCTAGTATATAAATAAAACTGAATTAAAATGACAGCTGAAAATATAAAAATAAAAGTCCATTCAAATTATGAATATATGATATGCAAGTATATATATATATAATATGCTGGTATATATAACAGAAAATATACAAATTAATGCTAATACAAAATATTAATATAAGCTAGTACTATTCTACTATATTATTTTTCTATAATATTATTTTTAAATGTTAATGTAAAAAAAGACAACTATCAAAGTTTGTAGTTTAAGTGTAAATATTGCTGTTTGTTCTCAACCAATGGCATGAGTTTGGGGGCGGGGCTGTTTGTTTTTCCGACCAATGGCAGACAGCCAGTGTTGAATATGCTTACTATTGTGTTTTTAATTTGCAGCTTGCCAGCTAATTTGATTTGCTTATCATTGAGGATGTTTCCTGCAGTTTCAGGAAGTAATTTGCTCTGATTTATCTCTGTTTGTATTGTGTGATAGATTAGCACACAGCGGTAGTCACACACTGACCTCTCTGATAGCCTCTCTATTGCTGCTGTGATAAGATAAAACTCAGTAATAAAATAAATAAAGTCAATCCTCTGCTCTCTTCTTCTGTTGCGCTGCAGTCATCCAGGGTTTGTCAGGGGGACAGTGCTGTTTCTGTCCTGAGACACAGCCGTCACGCTCATTATATCGACTCAAGGGAGAAAAGCTCGAAGAGAAACCTGTGTGAATGACAACACTGAGATATATAACACTGGAAATCCTGTCTCATATCTATCCACTTCTGTTATTACCATCCTTTTTTATCATAGCAGTGTCATTTTATTCTTGGAAAGTGACATTGGTAGTGCCATTTAATTGTTGTACAGTACATGATATATATTCATGTAATAATTGAAAATTAAAATACCATACCATAAATGATCAAATTAATAGATACAAGTAAATATAGTGCATTGTTCCATGAATTATTCATATAATTGGTCTACATATAATAACATAGCTATATGTCATATACACAAATATATAATTTATGTGTTTGTATGTTTAGTTGTTTTTTGTATCTTAATGTATTTAAATAACATTTTATTCAATAGTTTAAAAAAACATATTTAATATAAATTTAATATTTAACATATATAACATATTTCATTTACATTTTATTCATATGTAAATATAATTAAATAATATTTAATTCATATATATAATAATATGTCTGAAAAAAATATAATTTTGTAAAAATTAGAAATAATATATACACATACGCACACAATATAAACTTAATTACATGAATTAACTTTATATTTATGAATAATTTAGTATTTATATTAATTATTTATGTAAAGGTACAATTAAATAAAATGTAATTCAATAGTATTTATATTGTACCATAAAGTAAAATATATTAAAGTGGTCATATGATGCTGCTAAAAAGAACATTATTTTGTGTATTTGGTGTAATGAAATGTGTTTATGCAGTTTAAAGTTAAAAAAACACATTATTTTCCACATACTGTACATTATTGTTTCTCCTCTATGCCCCGTCTTTCTGAAACACGTCGATTTTTACAAAGCTCATCGGTCTGAAAAGCGAGGTGTGCTCTGATTGGCCAGCTCTCCAGTGCGTTGTGATTGGCCGAATACCTCAAGCGCGTGACGGAAATGTTATGCCCCTCACCATACTGTGATGATGCTCTGTCCGGCCGGAGCGATGAGACAAAACCATTAAAACCCATTATAAACGAGGCATTTGTTGCATCCAGTGGGGACATAATTACTGATTATAATGACTTATACTGTCTTTTTACGCTGGTAGTGCCATTTAATTGTTGTACAGTACATGATATATATTCATGTAATAATTGAAAATTAAAATACCATACCATAAATGATCAAATTAATAGATACAAGTAAATATAGTGCATTGTTCCATGAATTATTCATATAATTGGTCTACATATAATAACATAGCTATATGTCATATACACAAATATATAATTTATGTGTTTGTATGTTTAGTTGTTTTTTGTATCTTAATGTATTTAAATAACATTTTATTCAATAGTTTAAAAAAACATATTTAATATAAATTTAATATTTAACATATATAACATATTTCATTTACATTTTATTCATATGTAAATATAATTAAATAATATTTAATTCATATATATAATAATATGTCTGAAAAAAATATAATTTTGTAAAAATTAGAAATAATATATACACATACGCACACAATATAAACTTAATTACATGAATTAACTTTATATTTATGAATAATTTAGTATTTATATTAATTATTTATGTAAAGGTACAATGAAATAAAATGTAATTCAATAGTATTTATATTGTACCATAAAGTAAAATATATCAAAGTGGTCATATGATGCTGCTAAAAAGAACATTATTTTGTGTATTTGGTGTAATGAAATGTGTTTATGCAGTTTAAAGTTAAAAAAACACATTATTTTCCACATACTGTACATTATTGTTTCTCCTCTATGCCCCGTCTTTCTGAAACACGTCGATTTTTACAAAGCTCATCGGTCTGAAAAGCGAGGTGTGCTCTGATTGGCCAGCTCTCCAGTGCGTTGTGATTGGCCGAATACCTCAAGCGCGTGACGGAAATGTTATGCCCCTCACCATACTGTGATGATGCTCTGTCCGGCCGGAGCGATGAGACAAAACCATTAAAACCCATTATAAACGAGGCATTTGTTGCATCCAGTGGGGACATAATTACGGATTATAATGACTTATACTGTCTTTTTACGCGTTGCGTTGCATCGCGCCGCGTAAACATAAAACCATGTCTGCATTTGTGATCAGAGAAATGACAAACAACAAGTGCTACTCTACACTGCCCAAAACTCACGTTTGAATCATCAGTGGCAAATTCTTTAAATATGAAAATGTACTTACAGTCTGTGAGTCAGAACAGCTGGCATTGTAGTCTACTCTCCCAGGATCAGGAAACAGTCCTCCATAAAATGTGCTGCACACATCTGAATATTTGGGTTAAACTGTTCTGGAACAGTGTTGTAAATACAACTTAACCACTGATTTCTAGTCGTGTCCATTTTTGGAAGACCAAACAAAGTAGATTCGTAACGAAACAGCGTCACACACCTTGAGTGAGCAGAGGCGGGCGGGCTTGAGAATGGCGAGGCCGGCGGATTCGACGAAGGAGGCTTGCGGCAACCCCATGTGATGACCCCGGGCTGGACTCTGCTTCGTCCACGGTGAAAGCCGATCCCCTTTGGGCTTTTCTCAGATTGTGAAACACTTGTGTTTGAGTTTCATTATTCTCGAATCATTTGTGTGTGTTTGTGCTGTTGTTCTGGTCAGGTTGCGGATGGGTTTGGTCACTGGATGCACACTGGATGCACACCAGCACCTTCACACGGGTCACACCTCTTACATTCACTCCTCATCATCATCGCTCACATTCACCATCCTGCTTCTCTCCTGAATCAGCAGCGCAGCAGCTTCAGTCGAGAGCTCTTTAGCTGTAGTCCCTAAATGACAGGCTTTGTGTTCTGCTTTCAGAGGTGTGTCTCTGAGAGCAGGAGTGGATTCATGAGAGGAGGAGGTGTGTTTGGTGTTTGTACTGTACGTGTGTTTGTTTGGGCTCCCAGTGGTGAGCAGACAACTTTGAACTTTTAATTATTCTCACAGCGTGAATCTCAGGAGAAGAGATGCAGCGAGAAAAAAAAGCGTGAGATTAGGCGTGGGCGATAAAACGGTATCGATATTTATCGACGGAACACCTTCATCGATAACGATATAAAAAATGTTCGATATAGGCATGTGTTATGAGTGACGCAGACAGCACACACAAACACGAACACATGCTGAAATGCCTGCCTGTGATGAGGAGATTGTGAATAAAAAATAGAATATTTAAAATAAACATTTGCATTTGAATGCAAAAATGGTACAGTCAAATGTTAGGTGTGCGTCAGGGAGCGTGATCAGTGACGCACGCGTGAGATGCAGTGATAAGGATGTAAGTGACGTTGTTACATTTGAATGTTTTGTTAGTCTAGCCCACGAGACGCGCCGCCGCTGCGTTATTCGTTCAAAATATTAGAGAAATATAGAAGCTCAATGCATAGAAGATCTTGATTAGGTTAAAACTGAAACCAAGCCATTCACACAGAACGCATATTCAGCACATTTTTAGATGGACAAACATAGCTGCTGCACTCACGTCTCATGCAAGAGATGCAAAGAAAGCCATGCAAAGTTAAAACAGTTAAAATTTTTAGAAAAGGTTTATTTCATTTCACTGCGTCTCGTATGTTTTTAAATGCAATCTGTGTGATCGGCGATTTGGCTCTTTGTATTAGGCTAAGCAATGCATCAATACATGATGCTGTTTTGTTCATAATTGTTTATGCAGTTTACAAAATTATATTTGATTTATATATGTTAATTTAGATGTAATGTATGTTTTTTCAGTTATTTCCCTGCGTTGACATTATGTGCTGCATTATTTTGCTCATTGCGCCCTCCTGTGGCCTCGGGAGACAAGCCAAAAGTTTCCTTAAGACTTATTTAATCTGCAAATAAAACATAAGAAAGGAGATATTTGTTTAAATGTTATTTTGTGTTTGACTGTTAAAAGAAATAAAAAATTTGATGTTTGTCTTAATAAATTGGGCAAATTAAAAATACAGTGGTTAGATTTAAAAAAAAATTCTATTGCTCTGTTTTAAAAATTTTTTTTAAAGAAATGTCAATAATTGTCGATACTGAACAATATGAAACATATATCGTTGATACATGTTTTAGCTATGTCGCCCAGCCCTACGTGAGATTGACAGGAGCTTTAACAGCGACGAGACTGACTGTCCGTTCTGTGTCCGCTGCGCTGGGATGCTTTGCTAAATAATAACAAGTCATTAAATAATGTTTAATCAATATCATATAATAATAATAAATATTTATTTTAATGGTAATTCTTGTAATATTTACTTTATATATTAGTAGTAATAAGTCATCTTTATCTAAACAGTAAATTTATTTTATATATTAAATAATATATATATATATATGTATATTGTTTTCTATTTTGTCACTGTGGTGGGACGATTTGCAAAATACTCTTTAATTAGGATTACCAAAGTCATTAAATAATGCTAAATAAATATTAAGTAATGTAATTTTATTCTTGGAAAATGACATTTGGTAGTGCCATTTTTATTTATTTATTTTTAAAATTTTATTTATTTGTATTATTTGCAAAATACTCTTTAATTAAGATTACCAAAGTCATTAAATAATGTTAAATAAATATTAAGTACTGTTTATTCTGATAATTATTCATATTTATTGAATACATTAAATAATACACAATAATATTGATTCCTGTTTTTCACTTTGGTGGAATGATTTGCAAAATACTCTTAAGATTTTGCATCAAATAATGTTTAAGAAATATTAGATAATATTTACTTTATTAATAACTACTAATATTTGTTTTATTTTTTTTTAATAATGTGCACTTTTTTTTAGCTGTAGAGAGATGATTTGCAAAATACTCTTATACATTAATGTATAAAGTGCGTTGTTTTCTTTTTTTTAATAATTGCTATACCATATCATAAACGTATCTGATATATTGTGACCTGCAAAATACAGGCCATATTATGTTTCCTGTAGCTGAATCAAACTGAAGCCCGAATAAAATAACGAAGCCTCTTGTTAGTCGTATTGTATAATGACCCTCAAAGTTTGTTTTTCCTCTCCCCTCACTGTGTTTTCAGCTCATGGTTTCTCAGCTGCTTCATATCTGGGGTCCAGAAGGTTTTCTCAAGCACATTGACGGGTGAGCCGGACATTTATTTATGAGCTCAATCAAATTCCTGTGTTATTATATAAATGACCAGAGGGTCCTGCTTACTATATTTGAATTGTTGTTCATAACTGTATTTCATTCTGTATTGTAAACTTGTACAGACTTCAGTTGGACCTTTGGTTAGCTGTTAAATATTTGAACAGGTTTTATTTAAGTCGAGATGTGCGTATGGTTGGCATTAGTTTTTGCTCTTCCTCAGGGTGATCGAGTTTTACAGATCTCAGAGGAACGCCATGCACTCCTCAGCAGACCAATGGCTCAAAGGTTGGACTCTCATATCAACTGCATCTGTTATTGACACTATCATATTAGTCTTATGTAACTGTATTTTAACGTTGATCCCAGTGCAATGCCTGATATAGTTTTTTATACTAAAATTGCAAACTGAGAGTCAAGTCTAAATGATCTTCTGTAGTAATAAGCTGTATGGACAACATCTGTGGCACACTGCCGATGTTGTTTTGAACTAAAACACAAGGCAGAAGTTCACAATTGCTATTGATTTTGTTGGAATAAGTAAATTATCTCATATATGTGATATGAGAACCAGTCATAAGGGTAAATTTTTCGAAATTGAGATTTATACATCATCTGATCTGAAAGCTGAATAAATACGCTTTCTATTGATGTATGGTTTGTTAGGATAGGACAATATTTGGCTGAGATACAACTATTTGAAAATCTGGAATCTGAGGGTGCAAAAAAATCTAAATATTGAGAAAATCATCTTTAAAGTTGTTCAAATGAAGTTCTTAGCAATGCATATTACTAATCAAAAATTAAGTTTTGATATATTTACGGTAGGGAATTCACAAAATATCTTCATGAAACATGATCTTTTCTTAATATCCTAATAATTTTGGCATAAAAGAAAAATAGATAATTTTGACCCATACAGTGTATTTTTGGCTATTGCTACAAATATACCCCAGCGACTTAACACTGCTTTTGTGCTCCAGGGCCACATATCTGAATGTCAGAGTCCAGATTACAGTATTTAAAGGAATACGTAGTTCCCCTAAAAATTTAAAATGCTGAAAACATACCCTCAGGCCCTCCCAGGTGTAGATGAGTTTGTTTCTTCATCAGATCTGAAGCATTGCATCACTTGCTCACTCAATGGATCCTCTGCTGTGAATGGGTGCCGTCCATCAATTAACATCTTTTGAATTTTTGTAAAACAATCCATTATTAATGCATTTTAAGGCTAAAATATGAGTCCATAATAACTCTTCCTCAAATGAAAAAGTCCATCTCCTGTTGTCTCTCACATTAAAATCCACCAACTGTTTTGGCTTGTAAACGGTGCTTGATCTGTGCATATTTCACTCCTGTTTCAGACAAGAACTTCACTGGAGAAACCAATATTACGGACTCGCATTTTAGCTGGAAGCAACCGTTTAAAGCAAAAACTCACTTCATAAGACATTAACTGATGGACTGGAGTGGTGTGGATTATTGTGATGTTTTTATCAGCTGTTTGGACTCTCATTCTGACGGCACCCATTCACTGCAGAGCATCCATTGCTGAGCAAGTGATGCAATGCTACATTTCTCCAAATCTGATGAAGAAACAAACTCATCTACAGAATAAGTAAATTATCTCATATATGTGATATGAGAACCAGTCATAAGGGTAAATTTTTCGAAATTGAGATTTATACATCATCTGATCTGAAAGCTGAATAAATACGCTTTCTATTGATGTATGGTTTGTTAGGATAGGACAATATTTGGCTGAGATACAACTATTTGAAAATCTGGAATCTGAGGGTGCAAAAAAATCTAAATATTGAGAAAATCATCTTTAAAGTTGTCCAAAAGAAGTTCTTAGCAATGCATGTTACTAATCAAAAATTAAGTTTTTATATATTTACGGTAGGGAATTCACAAAATATCTTCATGAAACATGATCTTTTCTTAATATCCTAATAATTTTGGCATAAAAGAAAAATAGATAATTTTGACCCATACAATGTGTTTTTGGCTATTGCTACAAATATACCCCAGCGACTTAACACTGCTTTTGTGCTCCAGGGCCACATATCTGAATGTCAGAGTCCAGATTACAGTATTTAAAGGAATACGTAGTTCCCCTAAAAATTTAAAATGCTGAAAACATACCCTCAGGCCCTCCCAGGTGTAGAGTAGTTTGTTTCTTCATCAGATCTGAAGCATTGCATCACTTGCTCACTCAATGGATCCTCTGCTGTGAATGGGTGCCGTCCATCAATTAACATCTTTTGAATTTTTGTAAAACAATCCATTATTAATGCATTTTAAGGCTAAAATATGAGTCCATAATAACTCTTCCTCAAATGAAAAAGTCCATCTCCTGTTGTCTCTCACATTAAAATCCACCAACTGTTTTGGCTTGTAAACGGTGCTTGATCTGTGCATATTTCACTCCTGTTTCAGACAAGAACTTCACTGGAGAAACCAATATTACGGACTCGCATTTTAGCTGGAAGCAACCGTTTAAAGCAAAAACTCACTTCATAAGACATTAACTGATGGACTGGAGTGGTGTGGATTATTGTGATGTTTTTATCAGCTGTTTGGACTCTCATTCTGACGGCACCCATTCACTGCAGAGCATCCATTGCTGAGCAAGTGATGCAATGCTACATTTCTCCAAATCTGATGAAGAAACAAACTCATCTACAGCTTTGATGGCCTGAGGGAGAGTACATTCTCAGCAAATTGTCATTTTTGGCTGATCTATTCCTTTAATTCCTTTAATTACGTGTGTTTTGTAGATGTAGCTGAATGGCATCATGGCCGGCATGTTCCTGTGGATTAAACTCAAGCGCATTAAAGACACACAGCTGCTGATAATGGAGAGAGCGTTAGAGAAGGAGGTTCAACACACTCACACACATCTGTGTAATTCACACGTACACAGAAGCTCACACAGTTTACATTTGTGCTGAATGTGATGATTTAAATGTTTGCATTTGCTACATGAACAAATACTCACTTCTGTACGAAAGCACTTTCCTTTATCACTGCAAACATTTCCTGTGAGTCAGAGTCGTTTGTATGGGTCGTTGCTTTATGATACAGTACAGCAGGTTTGCTGGGGCTTTTTGCCAAGGCAAAGTTAAAATTGTGTGTGTGTGTATGTAAATGAAATGAAGCACCTGATCCTGAAAACACACCACATGTTTTGCCTTCCACACATTCAATACAGTGTTTGTTTCTGTTGAGACGAGCATGGAGTCAGTCCTGTTGAACATCTTTACACTATTTACTTCACATGTTTGAAGCGGAACATTTTCAGTGTTCAGATCCTTTTCTTATCCCACCTTATTAACTAAGTAAGCCTTCAAAACACTGCTCTGTTTGTTTGAGCATTGACAGTCAAGAGTTACGTCTGTAAACGTGATGCTAGACTTTAGTTTCTCCTGAAGTCTCTGTTTTAATCTAAACGTTCAGCAGGTGTATATTAAAGGGCTTTGAATAATTATCTCGGGTTTTGTGTGTGTGTGTGTGTGTAGGTTCTTCTCGTTCATGGAGGAGTTTTCAACATCAACAGCTCTGATCCGTGTCTGTATGTTAAAGCCACCTTTTCTCTCTCCACACCTCAACAGATCGATGAGGTACAACACACTCACACTCTGCATATATATATATATATATATGATCACATGATCTTCAGAAATCATTCTAATATGCTGATTTGCTGCTCAATAAACATTTATCATTATTATCAATGTACAAAACAATTGTGCTGTTTTTTTGTGATTTTGTTTTCCAAGATTTTTTATGAATTGAAAGTTTCATTTATTTGAAATAGAAGACTTTTGTAACATTATAAATGTCTTCACTGTCACTTCTGATCAATTTACTGCATTAAGAATAAAAGTATTAATTTTCTTTAAAACCCTGACCCTTTTGAACTGCAATATATCATTGTTTGTCACTTATAAGTTTTCACTCTATATTATGCCTACTAATAGTATATTCTGACCACTAATAGACTCAAGTGCATCTGATGTTGATCTGTACTTCAGGATAAGGCATGTGTAAAATGTTTAACCATTAGAAGGTCAAGTGGATGTATTTTATTGCAATAGTCTGTTATTGTAAATCTTCATGGTGAATTGTGAAGGTTAAAGCAGTGGATTTCCTTAATGGACGGTGACCTGTAATATGACTAGTTAGCTGCTATTAACTTGAGCGGTTTTGAACACAAATGAGTTGTAAATGTACTGGTATGCTGCACATAGACTAATGGACTCTTATCACAGACTGTAATGACTCATTTCTGCAATAACTTGAATCCATCTCGGTTTTTTTCATATTTTGGAAAGTCATGGGAATGCAATATTGGATTTTTTTGCTCTTGCTTTTGGAGTAAATAGTAATGCAAAAATTATATTTGCAATGGTCTCCCATATATACACCAGAACATAATAATAGCTTACCTTTCTGGAAATGTGAAAACGGTCCATGCTAGTCACCATTTGACTTACTAACCAATATTTTGGTATGTTGTCCATTGGACTGGCATGTCATTGTGCAAGTTGGTCCATTTGGACCCAAAATGGTTCAATAAATCTCACTCAGCTTTGTGCTTTTACCAAATCTTTGCCTTATTTTGGTCCACCCAAAAATTTAAATTCTGTAATCTACTTTTTCAAAGAAAATATTTTGAATGTTGGCAACCAAATGTTTTCGACTCCCATTGACTTCCATATTATGGACAATGAAATACTATATAAGTCACTAGGAGCCAAAACGGTTTGGTTACCCACATTCTTCAAAGTATCTTCTTTTGTGCTCGACATTAGAAAAAGAAAGCATACAGTGATGACAGAATTTTCATTTTTTGGATGAACCATCTGTTTATAATTGCATAAATTCCAGATGTTTTTCAATAGAGAACTTGTTGATTTTAACAATGCAGAATGCAAGTTCTTAACCTTTGAACGCATTCATTAGAGCACTGGATTTTCACACAGATTCTTTGTGTACACTACTCAGGGAAAGTGTTTATGAAGGGCTCACACACACACACACACACTTCGACGGCTGCTATAAATCTGGGTGTGATTGTGCATAAACTGAGTTATGCACTCATAAGTGTTTTAAAAGCAAGATTAATAGCGTGTACGTGAGTTTCCTGGGATTTTATTAGTGTAACGTGCTGGTTATAACAAATGGTTTAACATTGACCAACAAGGGCAGTTAATCCTTAAACTGGATTTCTGAAGTCTGAATGTGCAATCTAGTGTGACAGAGGTGGAAAGATACACATCGCCACAGTATATTCACATCAGCTAGCCTTTACAGGGTTGATTTTGTTAAAAAACAATGGCACACGCTTCAAACACAGGTTAATGTTTCTTTATATGTGTCCAAAGGGGATATCACATTGTACTTTGAATGTGTAATGAATGATTACCATGGTATTCACATAGTTCTCCAAGGTACTGCAATATACCATACTATACACTGTAAAAAATGCCACAGTATATTCACATCAGCTAGCCTTTACAGGGTTGATTTTGTTAAAAAACAATGGCACACGCTTCAAACACAGGTTAATGTTTCTTTATATGTGTCCAAAGGGGATATCACATTGTACTTTGAATGTGTAATGAATGATTACCATGGTATTCACATAGTTCTCCAAGGTACTGCAATATACCATACTATACACTGTAAAAAATGACTGTGAATTTAACGGTAAAAGACTGTAAAAATGCTACAGTAAAAACCTGTTAAATGGTTAACGGTAAGTTCCCCTACTACCGTATTGGCCCGAATATAAGACGACTCTGATTATAAGATGACCCCCCCCCCCCCCCCTTTCTTTTTGGT